TGACATAATTTAAAATAATTGTTTTCTATCTTAGGAATTTTTGCTGATCAACGATTTACTGGTTTCAACGTGGTCTTAACATAAGAGATGGGGAAAGGAGCTTACTGTCATGCTAGGTAAGTACATGAGAATCTAAAGGCCAGCATTTACCATCCCACTCAGCTTTATTGTATTATTATTCCATTGTTTATTTAATTCTAGTATAATTAATGTACAGTGCTAATCTATCATGTTGATAGATTTGCAAATATTGAATTACACTTGCATCTTAGAAATAAATCCCATTTAATTATGGTGAATGATTTTTAAAATATATTGTTGGATTTAATGTACTAATAATACTTTGTTGATGATTTTTGCATCTATGTTGATCAGAGATAATGGCCTGCAGTTCTCGTTTTTTGTAGTGTCTTTATCTGGTTTTGGTATCAGGGTAGTGCTGGCCTCGTAGAATGAATCTGGAAATTTTCCTTCCTCTTCTGTGTTTTTGAATAATTTGAGAATAGGTATTCACTCTTTACATATTTGGTAGAATTCACCTGTGAAGCCATCTGGTCCTGGACTGTTGTTTGTTGGGAATTTTTTTAACACAGATTTAATTTTATTGCTGGTAATCAGTCTGCTCAAATACTCTATTTCTTGCTGGTTCAGTTTGGGGAGGTTATATGTTTCTTCTAGGTTATCCAATTTGTTGGCATACAGTTTTTCATAATGCTCTTTTACAATTGTTTGCACTTCTGTGGTGTTGGTTGATATTTCTCCTCCTTTGTTTCTGATTTTGAGTTCCCTCTCTCTGTTGGATGTGTCTGGCTGAAGATTTTTCAATTTTGTTGATCTTTTCAAAAAACTAGTTCCTAGTTCCATTGGTCTATTCCATTGCTTTCTTTTGTTGTTGTTGAAATTTCTATTTCGTTTATTTCTACTCTATTATTTCCTTCCTTCTGCTGGTTTGGGGATTTGTTTGTTCTTGCTCCCTCAGGTGTAGGATTAGGTTCTTTATTTAAGATTTTTCTTGTTTCTTGAGGTAGACTGGTATTGTTATAATCTCTCTTAGAATAGTTTTTGCTGCATCCCAATGATTTTGGACCATTGTGTTTTCATTTTCATTTGTTTACATGTATATTTTTTATTTCTTTGATTTCTTGGTTGACCCATTCATTGTTTACTAGCATGTTATTTAACCTCCAAGTATTTGTGTTTTTTTCAGATTTTTTCTTTGGTCAGTTTCTAGTTTTATAGAATTATGTTCAGAAAAGATGCATGGTATGACTTCTATCTTTTTGAATTTGTTGAGACTTGCTGTGTGGCCTAACATGCGGTGTATTATACAGAATGTTCCATGTGCACTTGAAAAGAATGTGTACTCTGCTATTTTAGGATGGAATGTTCTGAATATATCTGTTAAATCTATTTGGTCTAATGTGTCCTTCAAAGCCACTGTTTCCTTCTTGAATTTCTGTTTGGATGATCTATTCATTGATGTAAGTAGGGTGTTAAAGTCCCCTATTATTGTATTCTTATCGATTTCTTTGTTAATAGCTGCTTTATATATTTGGGGGCTCCTATATTGGGTGCATAAATATTTACAATCGTTATATCTTCTTGTTGGATTGTTCCCTTTATGATTATGTGGGGTCCTTACTTTATTTTTTTTTAATGTTATGTTAGTCACCATACAGTACATCGTTAGTTTTTGATGTAGTGTTCTGTGATTCATTATTTGCATATAACACCCAGTGCTCCATGCAATACATGCCCTCCTTAATACCCATCACTGGGCTAACCCATTCCCCCACCTTCCCACCCCTCTAAAACCCTCAGTTTGTTTCTCGGAGTCCATAGTCTCTCATGATTCATCTCCCTCCTCATTTACCTCTTTTAACAGTCTTCGTTTTAAGGTCTATTTTGTCCAATATAAGTATTGCTACCCTACCTTTGTTTTCAGTTCCATTTTCATAATAATTGTTTTTCCATCCCTTCACTTTCAGTCTCCATGTTTCTTTAGGTCTGAAATGAGTCTCTTGTAGGTAGCATATAGATGGGTCTTGCTTTTTTATCCATTCAGTCACCCTGTCTTTTGATATGAACATTTAGTTCATTTACATTCAAAGTAATTATTGACAGGTATGTACTTACTGCTTTTTGTTACTTTACAGTTGTTTTTGAAGTTCTTCTCTATTCTTCTGCAGTTTTTGGCTTTCTTTTCTGTAATACTTGGATTCCTTTCTCTTTATTTTTTGCATATCTATTACTGGTTTTTGATTTGTGGTTTCCATTAGGTTTATATATAACATATGTATAGCTGTCTATGTTAAGTTGATGGTCACTTCAGTTCAAACCCATTCTAAGAGCATTAAAGTTTTATTCTTCCCTCTTCCACATTTTAGGTATATCTTGTCACATTTTATATCCTTTTATTTTGTGAATCCCTTGACTGATTTTTGTAGATATACTTGATTTACTGCTCTTCTGCTTCCTATTTTTCTTACTCCTGCCTATGGTCTTTCCTTTCTGAAGAATCCCCTTTAATATTTCTTGTAAGGTTGGTTTAATGGTAATGAATTCCTTTAACTTGTGTTTTTGTAGGAAACTCTTTATCTCTCCTTCTATTCTGAATGATAGCTTGGCTAGATAGAGTATTCTTGGTTGCAGCCTTTTTCTTTTGGCACTTTGAATAAATCAGGCCATTCTCTTCTGGCCTGCAAAGTTTCAGCTGAAAAACCAGCTGATAGTCTTATGGGGTTTCCTTGTATGTAACTCTTTTCTCTTGCTGCTTTTTAGATTCTCTCTTTATCACTACTTTTTGCCATTTTAATTACTGTGTGTCTTGGTGTGGACCTCCTTGGGTTGATTTTGTTGGGGGCTCTCTGTGCCTCCAGGATCTGAATAACTGTTTCCTTCCCCAGATTAGGGAGGTTTTCAGCTCTTAGTTCTTCAAATAAATTTTCTGCCCCCTTTTCTCTCTTCTGGGATCCCATAATGTGAATATTATTATGCTTGATGGTATCACTGAGTTCCCTTTATCTAGTCTCGTTTTTTTCTTTTTTCTTTTTCCTGTTTGTCATGATTGACCTCCATCCATTACTCTGTCCTCCAGGTCACTGATCTGTTCTTCTGCTTTCTCTGGCCTTATTCCCTCTAGTGTATTTTTAATTTCAGTTATTGAGATCTTCATCTCTGATTGGTTGTCTTTTATGTTTTCTATCTCTTTGTTGAGGGTCTCACTGAGATTCTCCACTCTTTTCTCAAGTCCAATGAGTATTTTTATGATCATTCTTTAAATTCTCTATCAGGCATATTATTTATTTCCATCTCCTTAGCTATTTTGCTGTGATTCTGTCCTGTTCTTTCATTTGGGATATATTCCACTGTGTCCTCATTTTGTCTAACTCTGGGTCTGTTTCTGGGTGTTAGTAAAGTTAGTTAAACCTCCTACTCTTGAAAGTAATATCCTTATGAAGAGGTCCTGTAGTGCCCTGCAGTGCAGTGTCTCCTGTTCACCAGAACCTGGTGCTTTAGGGGTAACTCCCATGTGTGTTGCATGCACCCTATTATTATGGCTGAGCTGCATTTGCTTTCAGTCATCAGCAATGGCTCTCTCTGCCTGTTGTGGGGAGGGTTTGGTCCCTATGTTGTTAATGGGCCAGTCTGGGACTACCTTGGGCTTGAGTTGGGTCAGACCAGGCATTTGCCAGAGCTGTAGGGCACGCTCCCTATGTTGTCCCCTGAGAGATGTTCCCTAGTGGGCAGGGCCTACAGTCAGATGGGATGTCTGCCCACAGCTACTGTTGTCACCACGTTCGGACTGGTATGTGTGGCTTTCTTCCCCTCCCCTCAGGGCAGGAGTCATTTTGGGGTGGTGCTGGCCCCTGATGGGGCTGCTTTCATACTACCAAGCTTGTGGCACTGCTTTGGATGGACTTCTGAGTGTAGGTTGGAGGAATGGGTGCACTTGTTAGCAAAGCTAGGTGGAGAGTGTTCATGCTGTGCTGGTTCCTGCAGGTGTGCGTGTTATCTAGACTAGGGGCCAGGTGAGAGAAATGGTGCCTGCAAGCTCTTTTGTTCTTGGAGAAATATCCTAAAGATCCCTGCCCCTCCAGCACACATCCTGAGATTAGTAAATATAGCTTCCTGTACACCCTGGACATTTGTTAAACTGCTGCTTCTACGCCACATCTCAGTGGGGTTGTTTGCTATGCTCGTTAAGCATGGGGACTCCGTTTCCTCTTGCCCTCTTGCTGTCTGAGCTGAGCCTGCTGATTTTTAAAGTTCCCAATGTTGAGCCCCATTGACTGTAAAAACTTACAAAGTCCCTCTGGTTTTCAAAGGCAAATGTTATGGGGATTAGTCTTCCCATTGTGGGTCCCCCATGGCTGGGGTGCCTGGCATGGGGTCTACTAGTCTTTATCCATGCCTGAGGTGTCCTTCCCTCCCATGATCAGTTTTGAGGGGCAGTTTGGTTTCCAACTGCATCTTGCCCTTCCTACTCTCTTTGAAGTGGCCTCTTCTCTATATTTAGCAGTGGAGAGTCTGTTCTGCCCGTCTTTAGGTTGTTCTCTCATTTACACTGATGTGGGTTTTATCTAGGTGTAGCCATGAGAGTAGGTGAGCTAAGGATCTTTCTACTCTGCCATCTTCCCTGGAAGTCCCCATTCCCACTCAACTTAGGCTGTCATTAGATTAGGAGAAGTCAATCAGAAAATGGCTATATTTCCAGCCCCTTTTTTATTTTCCTTCAAGGTTCTGATGTGGCTTTAATGACTTTTGCTTTTTCAGAGCATCTGTCTTTCTCATTTGTACACCACAATTTATGAGATAGGCCCTAGCTCCCAACCACTCTCCACTCTAGCTTCTCCTGATGAACCCTTCTTACCCTCCCAAGCCAGTAGCTACCTTGTTCCACCTCCCCCCAAAATCAAGAAAACATACTGATGGATTTTGATCACCTGCTTAAAGCACCTCCACATTTCAGAAAACATTTCAGACAGAGGGGTTCAGAATCCTGGGAATCAGTCCGTGTTTTATTTTACAGTACATTCATATAAGTTCCTGCATTTCCAAGGTAACCAGATCACATTCAGGTTAGCACTGCTGGTAACAAAATTATACAACTACCCTGGCTTCAAAAACAAGATAGGATGATACACATTAACATCTCTTTCCCTTTAATACTGCAGAAGACAATACCTCACAAAAATAAAATCACATGCCTTTTACAATCCAGTGTGAAGGCATATTATTTATGTTAAAATAAACCATTTTGGACATGGGGAGAATAAGAAGAGTTTCAAAGCTTAAGATATCTAAAATGTCCCCCTGGGCCATCTTTCTCTTCTGCCAGCTGGTACATTCAAAATCAATGCCTTGGGAAGAGGGACGAGGAAAGCGAGGGATCCTTTAACTCTGAAACTCATGGCTTCTTAGGCTACTTCTGTAAAAACTACTTAAATAACCTAAACTTCTAAAAAGAGTTAATATTAACAAGGGATGGTAATATAGGAAGCACCTGGAGAAAATTCCTCCAGTCACTGAGGGGAAATACAAGCTGCAGACATTTCACAAAAATGGAAAACTGTATCACGTCCAGCAATACATTAGGTTTTGAAAATACACTTTCACTTTACTGTATGAAACACTATGATCCATGTTTTAGTCTTGAATTTGTTCAGAAAAACAGCCGTAACCTCCATCTGCAATATTTCCTATAGGCATCATTACCATCCAAGAGGGCAGCTGACCAACATCCCAACCCGTGAAAAATATAACAAGCTGAACTTAGCTATAATAAAGGCTAGAATGAATTAGGTAGGAGAAAATTCAGATGTGTGAAAAGTAGAAGTTAAATTCATTTGGCTCTTTATCCTGGATAAAAAATTTTGTTAGAAAATGTTTTGGACCCAGGTCCAACAGAGCTGGAATGATACACTGTTGAAAATGCAAGCCTCTATCCAGAAAGACCACGTGCTTATGTAGCACCCTTCTCCTAAGGGTTCAATGTGCTTTAGTATAATTATCAATTCATTACATAATTAAGTACATGATTCAGAATACACTCGGACTTACTGTTAATTCCAGTGACTAAAGAGCTCCTGCCACTTGCTGCCAAGAAACTTTTGAGTCCTGAACTTACCATGTTATAGATGAAATTTATATTCATATTTGCTGACTCCAAAAAAAAAAATACCACCTCTTTCTGGGCTCAAAAATATGATGGAAGAGGGAATAAGACACTTATTAGGAAAGCCACAAAACATCTGATGAAAAACCAGAGCCAGTGCATATTTTACAACCCCTGAAGACAGCCCCCAGCAGCAGGGTGAGTGAGGGGAGCGGTGATGTTTTTGAAACCAGAGTGACTTGTAGCTAACTGCCTAACAGTAAATTCACATAGTAAAATGCAGAATAAGTCAACATATAGCCAAGGTTTACATTATATCTAGAAATATGTTTTATGCTTTAAAAAAAATTGCAATGCACTCCAAAAAAATTTTTCAGATAATTCATGTACAACAGAAGGCACTGTTATCCGCATAAATCCACTGATTCTGCATGGCAAAAACCTGAGACGTGCAATTCAATCAGTCCTCTAAAACCACCTTGGTCATTCGTCCTTTGGAGAATATGATTTGTCCTTTTCAGTCCGCTGATTTTGTTTTCCTTGAATTTCATACATTACAGTAGCTGCTGAGAATGTATATTTTGGGGGGAGAAAGGTCAAAGCGGAAGAGGCAGTGGATAAAAGTGCTGCCTAATGCCAGAGTTAACTGGCACAGCCCACTCTGTCCCTCCCCTTGACCTTCACATTCCCCTGGTGAAGTAAAATGTAGTGATGACATTTGGTAGGCTGATGTTCCCTCTTTCAGTTGTTGCTGGGCACAGTCCCAAAGTTAAATGCAGAGAGGACTCCTTTGTTTTCAAAGGTGAAGCCTCCCTGTTGTTCAATCTTCTTCTTTGCCTCTAGCATTTGCCAAGAGAAAGGGGGGGGGGGGGGGGAGAAGAGTATTTAAGGTGACAAAGTTGAAATAACCTCAAATGAGCTAGATTTCTTTATACTTAGCATTGTGAAGGCATGTGACTCATGATATTAGTTATTCTGCCCAACTGAGCATTCGCCTTTTTTTGTTTCAATTCTAGTGTACTTAACAACATACAGTGTTATATTAGTTGCAGGTGTACCATATAGTGATTCAACACTTCCATACATTACTCAGCGCTCATCAAGATAAGTGTACTCCTAAACCCTTTCACCTATTTCCCCTGTTCCCCCCACCCACCTCCCCTCTAGTAACTAACCATCTGTTTGTTCTCTATAGTTAAGAGTCAGTTTTTTGGTTTGTCTCTCTTGTTTTCCCCTTTGTTCATTTGTTTTGTTTCTTAAATTCCACATAGGAGTGAGATCATATGGTATTTGTCTTTATCTGACTGGCTTATTTGCTTAGCATTATACTCTCTAGATCCATCCATACTGTTACAAATGATAGGATTTCATTCTTATTTATAGCTGAATAATATTCCATTGTGTATACACACACACACACAATCTTCTTCATCCATTCATCTACCGAAAGACACCTGGGCTCTTTCCATAATTTGGCTATTGTATATAATGCTGCAGTAAATATAGGGGTACATCTATCTCTTCAAATTAGTGTTTTTGTATTCTTTGGGTAAATGCCCAGTAGTGCAATTACTGGATCACATGGTAGTTCTATTTTTAACTTTTTGGGGAACCTCCATACTGTCTTCCACAGTGGAATTTCCAAATTCCACATTTCTAATTTGCATTTCTTTCAAAAGTGTACAAGGGTTCCTTTTTCTCCACATCCTCACCAGCACTTGTTTCTTGTGTTGTTGATTTTCTGACAGGTGTGAGGTGATATTTCATTGTGGTTTTGATTTGCATTTCTCTACGATGAGTGATGTTGAGCATATTTTCACATGTCTGTTGGCCATCTGTATGTCTTTAGACAAATGTCTATTCGTGTCTTCTGCCCATTTTTTAATTGGATTGTTTTTTGGCTGTTGAGTTGTATAAGTTCTTTATATATTTTGGATACTAACCCCTTATTGGACTGTCATTTGCAAATCTCTCCTCCCATTCCATAGGTTCTTTTAGTTTTGCTGGTTGTTTCCTTTACTGTGCAGAAGCTTTTCACTATGATGTAGTCCCAACAGTTTGTTTTTGTTTCCCTACCTCAAGAGACCTATCTAGAAAGATGTTGTTATGGCCGATGTCAGAGAAATTACTGCCTTTGCTCTCTTCTAGCAGTTTATGGTTCCAGAGCTCACATTTATGTCCTTAATCCATTTTGAGCTTATTTTTGTGTATGGTTTAAGAAAATGGTCGGGTTTTCCCAAAACCACTGTTGAATAGACTCTTTTCCATTGCATATTCTTGCCTCCTTTGTCATATATTAATTACCATATAATTGTGGGTCCATTTCTATGCTCTCTGTTCTGTTCCACTGATCTGTGTCTATTTTTGTGCCAATACCATATTGTTTTAATTACTACAGCTTTGTAGTATATCTTGAAATCTGGAATTGTGATACCTCCAGTTTTCTTCTTCTTTTTCAAGACTGCTTTGACTACTTGGAGTCTTTTGTGGTTCTATACAAATTTTAAGATTGTTTTTCCTAGTTCTGTGAAAAATGCTGATGGTATTTTGATAGGGATTGCATTAAATCTGTAAATTGCTTGGGGCGCCTGGGTGGCTCAGTCGTTAGGCGTCTGCCTTTGGCTCAGGTCGTGGTCCCAGGGTCCTGGGATCGAGCCCGGCATTGGGCTCCCTGCTCAGCAGGAGGCCTGCTTCTCCCTCTCCCACTCCCCGTGCTTGTGATCCCTCTCTTGCTGTGTCTCTCTCTGTCAAAGAAGCAAAACTGAGGGTTGCTGGAGTCGTGGGGGGTGGGAGGGATGGGATGGCTGGGTGATAGACATTGGGGAGGGTATGTGCTATGGTGAGCGCTCTGAATTGTGTAAGACTGTTGAATAACAGACCTGTACCTCTGAAACAAATAATACATTATATGTTAAAAAAAAAAAAAGAAGGGAAGAATGAAGGGGGGGAAGTCGGAGGGGGAGACGAACCATGAGAGACTATGGACTCTGAGAAACAAACTGAGGGTTCTAGAGGGGAAGGGGGTGGGGGGATGGGTCAGCCTGGTGATGGGTATTAAGGAGGGCACGTACTGCATGGAGCACTGGGTGTTATACAAAAACAATGAATCATGGAACACTACATCAAAAACTAATGATGTATGGTGATTAACATAACATAATAATAAAAAAAAAAAGAACCAGAAGTACAACAGTAGGCAAAAAGGAAAAAGTAAATAAATAAAATCTTAAAAAAAAAAAAAAACGGAGACTGCTTTAGGTAGTATGGACATTTTAACAATAGTAATTCTTCCAATCCATGAGCATGGAGTATCTTTCCATTTGTTTGTGTCATCTTCAAATACTTTCATTAATGTTTTATACTTTTCAAAGTACAGGTCTTTTACCTCCTTGGTTAAGTTTATTCCTAGGTATTTTGTTCTTTTTGGTGCAATTGTAAATGGGATTGTTTTCTTAATTTCTCTTGCTGCTACTTCATTATTAGGTTTTCTGTACATTGATTTTGTATCCTGTGATCTTACTGAATTCATTTATCAGTTCTAGTAATTTTTTGATGGAGTCTTTAAAGTTTTAGATAGATATAGTCTCATGTCATCTGCAAATAGTGAAAGTTTTACTTCCTCCTCACCAATTTGGATGTCTTTTATTCCTTTTTCTTGCATGATTGCTGTGGCTAGAACTTCCAGTACTATGTTGAATAAAAGTGGTGAGAGTGGACATCGTTGTCTTGTTCTTGACCTTATGGGAAAAGCTCTCACTTTTTCACCATTGAGTATGATGTTAGCTGTGGGTTTTTCATACAGAGTCTTTATTATATTGAGCTCTGTTCCATCTGCAACAACTTTGTTGAGGGTTGTTATTATGAATGGATATTGTACTTTGTCAAATGCTTTTTCTGCATCTAATGAAATGATCATATGGTTTTTATCCTTTCTCTTACTGATGTAATGTATGCCACTGATTGATTTGTGAATACTGAACCACTCTTGCATCCTGGGAATAAATCCCACTTGATTGTGGTAAATTATTTTTTCTGATGTATTGTTGGATTTAATATGCTAATAATACTTTGTTGATGATTTTTGCATCTATGTTCATCAGAGATATTGGCCTTGTAGTTCTCTTTTTTTGTGGTACAAATTATTTCATTTTGGTATCAGAGTAATGTTGGCTTCATAGAATGAATTTGGAAATTTTTCTTCCTCTTCCATTTTTTGGAAAAGTTTAAGCACAGGTATTAACTCTTCTTTAAATGTTTGGTTAAAATTCACCTATGAAGCCATCTGGTCCTGGACTGTTGTTTGTTGGGAGTCTTTTGATTACTGATTCAATTTCATTGTTGATAATTAGTCTGTTCAAATATTCTGTTTCTTGCTGGTTCAGTTTGGGGAGATTGTGTGAACCTAGGAATTTATCCATTTCTTCTAGGTTATCCAATTTGTTGGCATATAATTTTTTGTACCATTCTCTTACAATCCTTTGTATTTCTGTGGTTTTGGTTGTTATTTCTCTTTCATTTATGATTTTGTTTGAGTCTTCTCTCTCTCTATGAATCTGGCTAAAGGTTTGTCAATTTTGTTGATCTTTTCAGAGAACCAGCTCCTGATTTCATTGATCTGTTCTATATTTTAGTTTCTGTATCATTCATTTCTGCTCTAATCATTATTTCCTTCATTTTCCTGGTTTGGGGATTTGTTTGTTCTTTTTCTTGCTCCCTCAGGTGTAAGTTAGGTTGTTTAAGATTTTTCTTGATTCTTGAGGTAGGCCTGTATTGCTGCTATAAACTTCCTTCTTAGAATGGCTTTTCTGACCATTGTGCTTCCATTTTCATTTGTTTACATGTATCTTTTTTAATTTCTTCTTTGGGTCAACCAAGAAATCATTCATTGTTTACCAGCATGTTAATCTCCATGTATTTGTGTTCTTTCCAGGTTTTTTCTTGTGGTTGATTTCTACTTTCATAGTGTTGTGTTCAGAAAAGATGCATGGTATAACTTTTTTGAATTTGTTGAGACTTGCTTTGTGGCCTAACATGTGATGTATTATGGAGAATGTTCCATGTGCACACTGCTGTTTTAGGATAGAATGTTCTGAATATATCTATTAGATCAATCTGATCCAATGTGTCCTTTAAAGCCACTACTTCCTTCTTGATTTTCTTTTGATCTACCCATTGATATAAGTGGGGTGTTAAAGTCCCCTATTATTGTATTCCTATCGATTACTTTCTTTGTTTGTTAATAGCTGCTTTATATATCTGGGAGCTCCCATGGCAGGTACATAAATATTTAAAATTGTTATATCCTCTTGTTAGATTGTTCCCTTTATGATTAGGAAGGTCCTTCTTTGTCTCTGTAACAATGTTTGTTTTAAGGTCTATTTTGTCCAATATTAAGTATTGCTACCCTCCCTTTCTTTTCATGATAACTGTTTTTCCATTCCTTCACTTTCAGTCTCCATGTGTCTTTAGGTCTGAAATGAGTCTCTTCTACACAGCATATATATGGGTCTTGTTTTTTTTATCCATTCCATCACCCTTTGTCTTTTGACTAGAGAATTTAGTCCATTTGCATTAATAGTAGTTATTTATAGGTATGTATTTACTGCCATTTTGTTACTTGGTTTTGGTTGTTTTTGAGGTTCTTCTCCATTCCTTTCTTCCCTTCCTCTCCTCTCCCCATAAGTTGGCTTTCTTTAGTGATCTACTTGGATTCCTTTGTCTTTATTTTTGGTATATCTAGACTGGTTTTTAATTTGTGGTTACCATTAGGTTTGTATACAACATATTCTGCATATAGCAGTCTTTAAGAATTTTTTTTTTAAGATTTATTTATTTGACAGAGAGAGAGATAGCAAGAGCAGGAACACAAGCAGGGGGAGTGGGAGAGGGAGAAAGGCTTCCTGCCGAGCAGGGAGCCCGATGTGGGGCTCTTTTTTCTTTTTTTTAAAGATTTTATTTGACAGAGAGCGAGACAGTGAGAACAGGAACACAAGAAGGGGGAGTGGGAGAGGGAGAAGCAGGCTTCCTGCCGAGCAGGGAGCCTGAGGCAGAGCTCGATCCCAGGACCCTGAGATCATGACCCAAGCCGAAGGCAGACGCTTAATGACTGAGCTGCCCAAGCATCCCATATAGCAGTCTTTATTAAGCTGATGGTCACCTAAGTTTGAACCTATTCTTTACATCGGTCCCTCCCCCCACTCCCATATTTTAGGTCTATGGTGTCCTACTTCATTTCCTTTTACTTTGTGAGTCTCTTGACTGGTTTTTACAGATATACTTATTTTAATTTCTTTTGTGCTTCCTACTTTGATTATTCATGGTTTTTGTTTTCCACTAACATTTCTTGTAGTGCTGGTTTAGTGGTCATGAATTCTTTTAACTTTTGTTTGTCTGGAAAACACTTTATCTCTCCTTCTATTCTGAATAATAGCCTTACCAGATAGAGTATTTTTGGTTGCAGATATTTTCCTTCAGGCATCTGAATATGTCTGGCCTGCAAAGTTTCTGCTGAAAAATCCACTGGTAGCCTTGAACATAACTTTCTTCTTTTCTCTTGCTGCTTTTAAAATTCTCTATCACCACTTTTTGCCACTGTAATTATGATGTGTCTTGGAATGGACCTTCTTTGGTTGATTTTGTTTGGGGATGTCTGTACCTCCTGCATCTGGATTTCTACTTCCTTCTCCAGATTAAGGAACTTTTCAGCTATTATTTCTTCAAATAAATTTTCTGCCCCCTTTCCTCTCTCCTTTTCCTGGGATCCCTATAAGTAAATGTTATTATGCCTGAGGGGGACACTGAGTTCCCTAAGTTTTCATTTTACAGAATTTGTTTTCCCCTCACCTGCTCAACTTGATTACTTTCCATCACTCTGTCCTCCAGGCTGCTAATCTGTTCTGCTTCCCCTAGTCCACTATTTGTTCCATTTAGTGTATTTTTAATTTCAATTATCATGTTCTTCATCTCTGATTGGTTCTTTTTCAATGTTTTCTCTTTGTTAAAGATCTCACTGAAATCTTCCACTGTTTTCTCAAGTCCAGTAAGTATCTTTATGGTGGTTACTTTAAATTCTCTATCAGGCATATTACTTATCTCTGTTTTGCTTAGGTGTCTTGCTATTGTTTTGTCCTGCTCTTTTATTTGGGACACATTCCTCTGTCTCTTCATTTTGTCTAACTTTCTGTGTTTCTGTTAGGAAATTCAGCTACATATCTTGTCTTGAAAGTAATGGGTGGAGCATGCAGTTTTAACAAGGTGGCGCTGGTCCTCTCCCAGAGGAGATGTGTCTCCGTCTCTGAGACCAGGCCAATCCACAAGGCACACACAGGCAGGGTGCACAATTTTACTAAGACTGGCCACTCCTGCTGGGACTGAGACCCCACAACGTGCACAGTGGAGAGACACAGTGTTGACAAGGTTTGCACTAGTCTTCTGGGGAAGGGGACCCACAGCACCAGGCCTGAGGCAGGCCCCGCTGAAAAGGCTGGGTGCATAATGTATGCAAGCTAGGTAGTGAATGCTAGCTCTAGGCTAGCCCCTGCAGGTATCTGAGTGTTTATGCTGGAGGGCGGGGGAGAGGGGGGTGAGGAAGGGGAACGGCACCCACCAACAACTTTGTTCCTGGTGGAGTCTTCCAGTAATCTCTATCCCTCTGGGACATACTTTGAGATTAGTAAATAAATCTCCCTCCAGTGAGCCCCAGGCCTTTTTCAAAGTGCTGCCACTATGCTCTATCTCTGTAGGCTGTTTGTTGTGCGGTCAGTTTTCTATAGCCCTCAAGGCTCTCCCGGAACTGAACCTGCTTTTTTAAAGTTCTAGGCTGTAAGTCACACTGGTTGTAAGAATTCATGAAATTTAGCCCCTCTGTTTTTCAAAGCCACATTTGCATGCAGGCTCACAGTATGATAGTCTGTTTCTCTCCCCTCTCCATGCTTGCAGGTCCCTCCCACCAGTGGACAGACCCATGGTCCGTTTTGCTCCCCACTGCATCTCCGCCCTTCCTATCCTCTTTGATGTGGACTCTTCTTTACATTTTGTTGTGGAGTCTGTTCTGCCAGTCTTTGAGTCATTCTCTGGGTTATTTACCCTGATGTGAGTGTTACCTAGTTGTATCTATGAGATGAGGTGAGTGTAGGGTCCTCCTGCTCTGTCATCTCCCCCCGAAGTCCCTGAGCATTAACCTTTAACAGGACTATGTAAGTAAGTAGTTATGTTTGCTATCACAGAAAAACTGCTAAAAAGACTTTACTGGAAGTTGAGATGGGGGAGGTAAAAATAAGCAAAATGAAAACAGTCTCAAAGTTGTGTTTTAATAGTTCCATAGTCTACTGCTGGAAGTGAGCCCAGAATTCTCCTATCAGGGACTGACACAGACTATGCAGGACTGAAAACTGAAGTCCATACGGAAGAACTTAGGCTCTAAGTCCCAGGGGCCTGTTCCATGATGTTTTCCACTAAAATATTTTTGTAAGTACAAAATCTTTTCCATTGGTTTTCTAGGATAAAATAATTTCTTCAGGTCAAAAAAACTGAAAATCACCAACATGTAAAGCCCAGCAAAAAGAAATGAAGAGTGTTTCATTTCCAGGAAGACAAGCTCCTTGCAAGAACTCATGAAGTACCTTCAGTCTATCTGGGATTAAGATGTTTAGATGGGTGATCCAACTGACTAACTCTCCCTCAGCAAGATGCATCCTCACCTTTATGTCTTAACTTGGGCTCTAAAATATAGGGTAAGTGCTCATGAATAACACCACCACTAAAAGACACATATTAATGCACGGGATTTTGCAGAGCTAAGATATCACAAGTGATTAAAAAGAAAATTTTTAAAAATCATACAATAATAATTCGTTATTATCATGAAAGGGTGGCCTGTAACAATTTTTAAAACAGCCTTCAGGTGCCACAAAACACATGAATAAGGCTGACTGTTGGCACGTGGACATGTGCACTCCAGTGTGGAGATGTGGTGAGCTGACCTGCCACGGTCCTCCGGTGCTCTGCCAGGGTGTACACCTCCTGCAGCGCCCTCCTCTGGTCCTCACTGAGCGGTGCCATGAGGAGCTGGTACCAGGCAGCATCCCGATTCTGCACAGCTGTTGCATGGGGGGTGGGGCGGGGGAGGCGGGTGTAGAAGAAGAAAGAGAGTCTAGTGACATGATAATAGAAGTACGATGAGATGACTGCAAACAGTAAGAGACAAAGAGTACACCACCATAACAAACACAAGGTGGTAAAACTTACTCCAGCAAAGGATTATTTTTGTAAACCCACAGTTTACAAAACAAAAATACGCACTCTGTATCCAACCACGTGGGACTATCAGAGGATGGTTAACACATTGCCAATCTCTGCTTTACCCAGGTCTCTGTCTCCTTCGCCATTCTCTTCCTCCTGAGGGTTTACTAACTATGCTCCCTAAATTCCAGATCTTGGCACACACCTCTACTCAGGTGCTGCCATTTTCCTCCAGATTCTCAGAGTACCTGCAGCTTCAATACCGCTCCCACACCAAGAACTCAAATTGGTGCTTTAGGCAAAACCAGCCCCCAAACCTCCCAGGTTTTTCCAGGTGGACAGCTTACCACAAACTCAACTAAAACCAAATTTAACATCTAAACCACCTTCTAACTGAAGGAAATTAAGATAGACTTTAGAGAAAATATCTGAAGAGTTAGGGAGTAAAGACATACTTAGCAGAGCTTGTGTAAAAAATTGATATTCATCCACACTGTTGTCAAGGTCAAGTGGAGTGCTGAATCCCTCAAGGGCAGTTTCTTCCAATACTTCTTCATCCCAGTCATCATCATCCTCCTCCTCTTCACCTCTTCCGTTATTTGACTGCATTGCTTGAGCGATTACGTTTGTCTCCTCTTCATCACTTGAAATCTCCTCTGTGAATCCATTAATTATTTAAGACGAATGAAAACACAAAAGGACAAAACATTCTGGAAATGGAAAAATTGCCACCTATTTTTACATGAAATTCTAAAAATAAACCTTTATTGTAGTTTGCTTAATTGAAAATGACTTTATCCTCCTCACTAAAAACAATTTCCAAGTATCCCTAAATCTAAAGTCTGCTGGCCATTACTACTGTTTTGCTATGGCTGCCTCATACTCTTTAATACAAAAATGCTATTTAATCAGAGTCCCAAATTGACTTTTCTGTCCAAAAAAAAAAGACAAGTGTATGGTCAGTGCATGTGTTTTAAATAACAATGACCTCCCATTGAGAATCTGGTCTCTTTTTATTTTTTTTAAGATTTTATTTATTTGACAAAGAGAGACACAGTGAGAGGGGGAACATAAGCAGGGGGAGTGGGAGAGGGAGAAGCAGGCTTCCCACTGAGCAGGGAGCCCAATGTGGGGCTCGATCCCGGGACCCTGGGATCATGACCTGAGCCGAAGGCAGACACTTAACGACTGAGCCACCCAGGCGCCCCAAGAATGTTATGGTCTCTTAACAGTTACCTAAATTGATTATGAACTGCTTAGAAGTGCTCAAATGAGATCATTTCTGCTAACAGAAAAATACAGAAATAAAGAAAAATTAGCTACATGTAGGGTGAAAAGTTGAAAGCTGAATTATATATCATCATGGATTGTTTTATTTTCAGTGCCAATCTGTTTTAAGCAGTTAGCCCAGTACTGTAAATAACCAGAAGACAGTAAATGCAGAACAAAATCAACCTAAGAGGGAAAGACCTAGAGTAAACCCAATCTAGGCAATATTACTCCAAAAACAGTTCTATAAAACATACCACACTGAAGCACCTGAATTAAACTGTGAAGCAGTTTAGGGGTAAGGCAAGAAACCCTAGTTTTGATCATTATGTATGTATGTATGTATGTATATATATATGGCAAAGGTATAATTACAAAGAGAGCAAGAAATACCTTTCCTAATTAATCATTCTATACTTCAGTGGAAATTCAACAGGAAAATCTGGGAAAGTACTAGAAAATTTTTTCTCAAGTCATATTAGTTATAAACCAACAGTTTACAAAACAAAAAATTAGATTATAACATTCTGAAAAAAGGAATTCTGTAATTGTTGGCCTACACTTAGCAAAAAACAAAACCCTTCTAATGAAGAAGTATTACTGCAAAAGTTCTACGTGGTATTCAGAAAAACAAATTTTTTTTGAGCCTGGGTGGCTCAGTTGGTTAAGTGTCTGACTCTTGATTTCAGTTCAGGTCATGATCTCAGGGTTGAGAGATTGAGCCCCACATCAGGCTCCACGCTGGGCAAGGAGCCTGCTTACGATTTTGCCTCTGCCCCTCCCCCCCAGCACACATGCACATGCTCTCTCTCTTTTAAATTTTATTTTGAGAGAAAGAAAAATTAGATCAGAAGATGTGCTCAGTTTTAGGGGTTAGGGAATGGTACCATTCCTTGTACATGAACAAACCAGGATGATGCCAATTAAATGTAAAATATTTTAAATCTACAGTCGCCAAAATTATAGAATTTAGCATCAAAAATAAAGATTTATGTTTTCCATGATAAGTTCTGATTTTTATCATTTAAAGAAATGTCTGTTTTTAACCAGAAGAGGAAAAACTCCATTTGGTGTTGGATAATATTACTTCCTGGCCCAAGTAAGTAGTTTTTTGCAGTATCATTAAATAAAATAAAGATCTAATATCCTTGACTCTAACAATCTTATTCTCTCAGTTAAGCAAATAACCTTCATTTGTATATTCTAAATTTATTAATACATAAACCGTAAGCATCTCCCAAATATAGTTTAAGAACCATTAAAAAAAAAAACATATCCAGCACTCTCTATTAATCTGCTAGGCTGACACTTATGCTCTTAACTAATGGTTCATTTAATTCATGTTGCTGATTTCACTGACACTGTTGGCACAAACAAGAAAATGAAATAACTGGTTGCTAACTTATGATCAAAACCATCTGATTCTGTTACAAATGCATCTGTATTTCCCAGGGTGTAACAACATTCATTAAGTTCAATAATTACTTACATGTCAGAAAGTGAACAAATCTAAAAGATGTAAACCCACCCCAAAGTATTTGTTAAATGTGCAACAAGCCAAATGTAACTCTGTTTAATGACTCCAAATAGACTAAAATTAAAAAAAAAAAAAAACACGCTCAAATCAAAATCAATTCTAGCACTCATTGCAATTAGAAGACTTTACCGTTTTCTTCCATATCAGCCTTCTCCACTTTTGAGCGATCTTCACGGTTTACCAGTTGCCTGGTAGCACAGACCTGCTTCAAGCCAAGGAAAAGGAAAAGAATTGAGGGTACAATCTGTCCCACTACGGCATCTACTGCAGGAGGTCGATTTTGCAGTTCCAAAAGGATACTCAGTCCTATTATACACATCTTCCGGTCATGATGCCTACAAATTACAAAGAAAAAAAATGTGCTCGTGAGAAATGAGGATAGTGGAAGAAACTACAAGAAAAAATGGCCAAGGTAATATTTTAGGGTTCATTCAATAGAATTACAGAGGTATCCCCCCTTTTGTACCATAAGAAATCCTACATAAATCAAGTTTTGTAAAAACCAATTATCATCAAAGCGCTACAGAAGTCTGTAATTAATATGGTGAATCTTGATATAATATCAATTTATGATTGATATGAATGCTATATCTGGGCCTTGGCATACAAGTTCTATTAAAGCAAGAATACCTGTACTTGACAGCATGAAATTCCTAACCAACGGGAAAAAGGAAAAATTTAGACTCTGTCTTCTGCATTAGATTGGTCTACAAGGTTTCTTAACACATATACTGTACGAAAACCGCAGGTGCCAAAAGCTATTCAGAAACTCAGCATATAAGGTGAACTTGATGGCTCTAACTAAATCCATTAAATGTTCTCTGCTTTAACATAGGATAAGAAAAATCTGATTCTGAAGGAAAAAAGTTTGACAGTATACATTATATACATTTTTCTGTTTCTTCTAAGTGGTTTAAAAATATTAAGAATGGCAAGACTACTGTATTTGGTATAACACTCCCAGTAAGCCATTGTCAGAGCTGAAATTCTAGCATAACAGTCACGAAGAGGTGTTCAGTCACTGGAGGAGGGCATGTACCTACTACTTGGCATCTCACTTTTCCTAAGTTCAAAAACATCTAGGAGAGTACTTCACATAAAGACACACTCTCCCACTGGGCCAGCACCTGGGCTACAATGAACACTCCTTCTTTCTGACCTCATATTTGAGAATAAGCTCCCGTGAGATCTGTAGGGTTCAATATCCTGGGACAAGACATCTTTACCAAACTGGCATTTTCCTTAGAAACCTGACCCCATTGAGAATGTTTTTGCCTACAGACACTTAATAGTCATGGAACCAGATGGACACTTAATTCTTGTAGCCTCAAGATATACTGCTAGCACATAAGTCAAAAACAAGTAGGGATAGGCTATAACTAATTTTCAGAGACTGCATTCTTTCCAAAAAGTAAATATTATGTTAATACCCTAAATATTCTTAAAAATGAAAATCATCTTTCTATATGCTATTATACACTTTTAAAAGTCAACTTTCCAGAAACAGAAATGTAGTGTAAAATCCAAAAGACACATACCCAAGAAAACAATCTGTATCATTCATCCACTGATTTATAAACTGTACAGTTATAGGTCCAGGGTTGTGAGGCAACTGAATTTGTTCTAAAGTATGTAGCAGCAAATCAGGGTTGTAGTACAAGGCAGCAATTGCAACCTGAAGACACATGGTACGGAGCTCACTAGTTTTGACTCCTCGGGTTAATCTCTCCAAAACAAGTTGAACAAAGAGTGGAATGCACTAGAGGAAAAAATGAAAAAAAGAGTCAACCATATACATAGAAACCAGGTAGAGTGTCATCAATAAGTAAGACAGTCTTGGGGCGCCTGGGTGGCTCAGTTGGTTAAGCGACTGCCTTCGGCTCAGGTCATGATCCTGGAGTCCCAGGATCGAGTCCCACATCGGGCTCCCTGCTCAGCAGGGAGTCTGCTTCTCCCTCTCCTGCTCCCCCCTCTTGTGCTCTTTCTCTCTCTCACTCTCTCTCTCAAATAAATAAATAAAATCTTTAAAAAAAAAAAATAAGACAGTCTTAATGATAATTAAACCTTTGCTTAAATTGTTTTGAGTTATTCAATAAATTCATATTCTCATAAAACCCAAAAATTAAATGGCCAAAAAGAGGTCCGAGAGAAGCAGTGTGAGGAAGTCTCCTTCCTTTCTGAGAGCAGATTACAGTTAGTTGAAGATTGTCCCACAAGAGTCCACACTCAAATGATGGCAATAATCCAAATGTAGACTCAGCCACTTCCACATTTAAGGTAAAATGACTAGGTTGGAATTTTTCTTTGTTAAATCAAATTGAATGGGGCACCTGGGTGGCTCAGTTTGTTGGGCGTCCGACTCTTGATTCTGCTCAGGTGGTGGTCTCACGGACATGGGATTGAGCCCTGGTAACACTTCCCAGGATGATCTACAGATTCAGCATAATGCCAGCTGACTCCTTTGCTGAAACTGACAAGCTGATCCTAAATTTCATATGGAAACTCAAGGGACCCAGAACAGCCAAAAGAGTCTTGCAAAAGAACAAAACTGAAAGACTCAAACTTCCTAATTTCAAAACTTACTACAAAGTTACAATAATAAAGACAGTATAGTCCTGGATTAAGGATTAAAAAATTAACCGGAATGAGAATCCAGAAATAAATCCTCACATTTATAGTCACATCATTTGACAACGGTGGCAAGACAATTCAATAGGGAAAGAATCGCTTTTTCAATAAATGGTACTGAGACAACTTTCTATCCACATGCAGAATAATGAATTTAAACCCCTTCCTCATGCCACACAGAAAAACTAACTCAAAATGAATTAAAGACCTAAATGTTACAGCTAAAACTATAAAATTCTTAGAAGAAAAAGGAAGGAAATCTTCGTGGACTCAGATTTAGCAACAGACTCTTAAATATAACACCAACCACAAGCAGCAAAAGAAAAAAAATAGATAAATTGGGCATCATCAAAATTAAAAACTGCTTCAAAGGACACCATTAAGAAAGTGATAAGACAATCCAAAAATTGGGAGAAAATTTTTGCAAACTGTGTATCTGATAATGGACTTGAATTTAGAATCTATAAATAACCTCTATAACTCAATAATAAACAAATAACCCAATTAAAATGGGCAAAGAATCTGAATAGACATTTCTCAAAAAAGATAAGCAAATGGCCATATGAAAAGATGCCCAACATCATTTACCATCAAGCAAATGCTAATCAAAACAACAAGATACTACTTCACACCTATAAGCATGGCTATAACAAAAAGACAAAGCAAGAGTTGATGAGCATACAAATTGGAACTCTCATTCAGTGCTAGTAGGAATGGGAAATGATGTGGCTGCTCTGGAGAAATAGTTTGGCAGGTCCTCAAATAGTTAAAAATAGAATTACCACTCGTAGATATATACCAAGAGAAATGAAAACATGTCCACACAAAAATCTGCATACAAATGTTCATAACATTATTCATAATAGCCAAAAAGAGGAAATAATCAGGGGAGCCTGGCTGTTTAGTTGGTCGAGCATGTAACTCTTGATTCCAGAGTCGTGAGTTCAAGCCCCACGCTAGGCACTTAATTAAAAATAATAGTAATAATAATTAAAAAGTGGAAATAATCCAAACATCCATCAACTGATGAATAGCTAAAATAAATGTGATATATCCACCCAATGGAATATGTAGCAATAAAAAGAAATGAAGTACTAGTATACATGCTCCCACATGGATGAACCTTTAAAACATTATGCTAAGTGAGAAAAGTCATTCACAAAGGACCACATGATTTCATTTATGTGAAATGTCTAGAATAGGCAAATCTCTAAAATAAGAAAGTAGAATAATGGTAGCCTAGGCTGGGGGGTGAGTGTTGAGGGGAAATGAGGAATGATTACTACTGGGTATAGAGTTCTTTGGGGGGTAGTGAGGCAATGCTCTAAAACTGTCGTAATATTTGCATGATTCTGTGAATATACTAAAATCCACTGAAGTATGTACACTGTAAAGGAGTGAACTATATGGTATGTGAATTATAGCTCAATAAAGCTGTTAAAAAAAAAAATACATGGAGCAAAAAGTTACAGAACTGAAAGAAAAAAGACAACTCCACAATTTTACTTGAACACTTCAACACTTCTCAGTAACTATTATACCATGATTACAGCAAACGTCAAATTAATCTTTGTTGAAAATTTATAGTGCTTTTTAAATCAGTAAAAGAAACCTTTTCTTTTTTGCATAGTATCTTCAATTCTGGTTAAAAAAAGATATCTGAGAATATTTCAACAGAATCCACAAAAAATAAAGGGAAAATGCAAATCTCTGGAAAACCTAGTAAGTAGAATTTACATATTTATCTCCTTCAGGATTTGCTTGATAGCCTCTTAAATTATTACATAGTTTCCTGTTTATTTCTTTCTCAACTAGAAAGCAAGGTGCAATTTTCAAACTGCATGGGTATTTTTCTTTTGTCATTTAAATAGAATTTGTTCCAGCAAGCACGAACTACAGGCTATCTTTTTAATTTTCCATCATAATATAAACAAAATGTCATTCAGGTATGTAAATTTTCAATATAAACATCAAGTACAAACTTTCCATACATGTATTACCTGATCAATTCCCTTTCCTTTGCACTGAAGAATGATGACTTCAAGAAGTTTGGCTGCATGACATTCTGCATCTTCTCCTGCATCTCCACATAGTACCTACAATAATTACAATTCAGCTCAGCAATGAATGGCATTGCATAGAATTTGAGTCTACATGAAGCAAATATCCCATAAAAATTCGGGCATTAGAATCATAGCTTTGGGGCACCTGGGTGGCTCAGTCAGTTAAGTGTCTGCCTTCGGCTCAGGTCATGATCCCGGGTCCTGGGATCCAACCCTGCATCACAATCATCACAATCACACTAAAGTAAGCTATATGAGTTAATTGTCCAGATAAGTGAAGCTTCCCTTTAAAGGCAACAAAACAATAAAATGAAATCAAAAGAAATTTTAAAAAACCTTCCATTTAAACAATGAAACAAACCCTGTAGTTTTCTGTTTCTTTTGAGTTCATTTTTTCATAATAATAACCATAATTTACTATCACACACCTTTTAATTTCTCCATATGGAATCTATAACTACAAACATCTTCCATGGATGTTATAACCATTTAGGACTATAAGTATTACCGTACATAAATTTATCAGTTTACCAGACCATTCCTCTATTGTCAATTTTGTATATCTACTATTATAAATAATTCTACAATGCACAGGCTCAAACATAAAAATTGGAATATAATTGCCTTACAATAAGGTTCCCAGAAAAGAGATTCATAGAGTAGAGCCATGCTTATATTGGAAATAAGAAAATATGGAAAAATTAATAAGAGTTCAAACATGAGCTATAAGAAAAAGAACAGACTTAACCTGAAGAGGAGACAGAAATTAAAAATACAGACAGAAAGAGGTAACAGGGAGAAACAAAAGACAGACTCATTGAGTAAAGACAACAAAGTGGACAACTTTTGTCAAAATTATTCTTAAAAAGCACAGAGCAAAATTATAAAAATATTAGAAATGAAAAAGGCATAAATACAGGTAAAGGAGAAATTAAAATAAGCAAATACTATGGAGAACATTATATTCCTTATATATTTGAAAGCTCAGATGAATTGGATAATTTCCTAGACAAATACAATTTAAGAAAACTGAATTAAAAAGAAATTCCAGATAAGACAGATTGAACATTCTCATTTATTTTTATTACTTCCCAAAAGATTAAAATAATAAAGAGGTTTTAGAGGCATGAATCCACAAAGACAGAGGAAAGGAAAAAAGTAGACAGCTATACAATTTTGGAAATTGGAAAACAGATGGATCAGTGAACTGAATCGCAAACAGGAAGCTGGCAAAGCCAAAAATCAACTCTATAAAATTTAAAATTCTGCTTCTTAGGGCAATATATCTACATTTAGATTCTAAATGTGAATGGGCTCTGAAACCAGATTCCCTTGGTTCAAATTCTAGCTCTGCCACTTATTATCTGTGCTTTTAAAAAAGCTAATTAAGGGGGGCCTGGGTGGCTCAGTTGGTTAAGCAACTGCCTTCGGCTCAGGTCATGATCCTGGAGTCCCGGGATCAAGTCCCACGTCCGGCTCCCTGCTCGGCAGGGAGTCTGCTCCTCCCTCTGACCCTCCCCCCTCTCATGCTCTCTCTCTCTCAAATAAATAAATAAAAATCTTTAAAAAAAAAAAAAAGCTAATTAACCTCTGTGTCTTACTGTCCCCATCTGTAAAAGGGCGATAATAATATACTTACATGGCGGGGCTATAGAACACAAAGAAAAAAAAAAGTCACTCCCTTTGCCCCAAATTGCATTTACTTGGGTTTTTTGTTGGTTGGTTGGTTGGTTTTTGTCCCCACCTCCAGAAGGAGAAGAAAAAAAATATTTCGGTAATTTTAAAAATGGGCTCTGGAGCCAGGCTACCTGGCCTCAAATATGGCTCCTACATAGACTAGCTCTGTGACTTAGGACAATTTGACTCAGGCATGATGCAAAAAATTGTGCCTCGGTCTCGTCTTTGACCAAAAGGTGATCCTTCCCTCATAATGTTGTAAAGATAAAATAAATTAATATGTATAAAGTACTTAGGAAATGCCTCACATGCAGTAAGAGTTCAGTAAGTATTAGCTATTATTAAAAACCACGAATATGACATATATTTTAACCACCTGTTAAGTCTAAGACATCACTGTGAATATCACTTTTACCCCAGCTGCTATAATACAGAGCAGCTGTAGGTGTAGGACTGCTATGTTTTCTACTTGCTGCTTTCTCTTCCCTTTTGCCTCACTAGCAACGGTCTCCACAACTGAGGAGAGGATACTGAAGACTGCCAAATGATTATGATTTAATAAGATAGGTTATTACGGGCTAAACAGGTCAAAAATCATGATTCTACTCCTTCAGTTTATATGTGATGAAACTTAGTGACCTCCCAAAATCTCCCAGGCTCTTTATGACTGAACTGAGACCTCAATCAGATGTGCTGATTATCAGTTCAGAGCTCTTAACATCTTGGTACACATCTCCTCTAGTGAGGAAGATAGGTTGTACACTAGATATTTTACTCCCAAGGCCAAACTTAAGTATCGGGCAGCTCTATGCAATGCAGTTTTTTTTATATTTATGTATATATATTTACCTAAAGGAGAAGGAAAACATTATTTGTACTCATAATGATTGCAAGATATAACCAACGGAGGGTGAAATCTAATCTGTGACAAAGACAACATAATAGACGATCCTGTTTGTATGTAAATGTAACAGTAGCCAATATATGGCTAATAAATCATCCTGTACTGAGCTAAATGATGCCGTTTTTGTAACGGCATCAATTAAAAGAAAATCAGTGATTGACAAACTGTGCGGTTATTTTCTTAGCACTGTGCTTTTCTATTGTTGGGATTTTTTTTTTTAAAGATTTTATTTATTTATTTGAGAGAGAGAGAGAATGAGAGAGAGCACATGAGAGGGGGTAGGGTTAGAGGGAGAAGCAGACTCCCTGCCGAGCAGGGAGCCCGATGCGGGACTCGATCCAGGGACTCCAGGATCATGACCTGAGCCGAAGGCAGTCGCTCAACCAACTGAGCCACCCAGGTGCCCTTTTATTGGGATTTTTAATAACACTTTAATCAAGTAGTAAGTCTGCATTTTTGAAAGAAAAAAACACAAAATTATTTATCTTAAACATTATAAAGTACACAGCTACAAGAGCGGCAAACATCAGGAGGGCCTGGGTGGCTCAGATGGATGAGCATCTGACTCTTGGTTTCAGCTCAGGTCATGATCTCAGGGTCATGGGATCGAGCCCCGCATCAGGCTGTGTGCTTGGCACGGAGTCCGCTTGGGATCCTCTCTCTCCCTCTGTCCTTCCCCCAACTCGTACTCGTACTCACACACACACACACACTCTCTCTCTCTCTCTCTCCCTCTCTCTAAAATAAAATAAATAAATCTTTAAAAAAATAAATAAGGGGCGCCTGGGTGGCTCAGTGACTCAGTCATTAAGCGCCTGCCTTAGGCTCAGGTCATGATCCCAGAGTCCTGGGGATCGAGCCCCGCATCGGGCTCCCTGCTCCATGGAAAGCCTGCTTCTCCCTCTCCCACTCCCCCTGCTTGTGTTCCCTCTCTCCCTGTGTCTCTCTCTCTCAAATAAATAAATAAAATCTTTAAAGAAATAAAAATAAAAATAAATAAAATTTTAAAATTAAATAAATAAAAGTGGCAAACATTCTTTTTTTTTTTTTTTTAAAGATTTTATTTATTTATTTGAGAGAGAGAGAATGAGAGACAGAGAGCGTGAGAGGGAGGAGGATCAGAGGGAGAAGCAGGCTCCCAAGGAGCAGGGAGCCCGATGCAGGACTCGATCCCAGGACTCCAGGATCATGACCTGAGCCTAAAGCAGTCGCTTAACCAACTGAGCCACCCAGGTGCCCAAGTGGCAAACATTCTTAAGCACAACACACAATATAAAATTTTCAAATTACGATTCCAGGGCCTATTAGAAAATAAAAAATAGCAAATATATGTTGAAGGCAACACAAAACTAAAGTATAAGAAACAAATTGAAAGAGCGTCCTGAAGTAAAACACTCAAACATTAGTAAGAACCACTCTAACAACTGATTAGGGCACACTTACCTTTCTACACATGGTAAAAAGTATTTCTAAATGCTTTGGATTAGATAATAAAGTATCTGTATCTATTGTCACATAATTATGCAAAAGAGGCATCATATCTGGAAAAAAAGAAAAATTCAAAAGCCCAGTGAGACTTGAGTAACAAGAGTAGAAATAAATTATTCCCACCAGAACCATATTTCTGTAGCACCCACACATTACTATCTTCCCCCACAACCACAAAATGTAGTAACAGAAGTGACAGAGCTGCTCTATTTATAGACGAGGAAGATGTGGATCAGAAAGATTAAAATGCTCATCATTTATTAGAGTGATTGTTCCAAATTTTTGTCTTTTTCTCCATAGGAGTCATCACCATTTGACAAACTGCGTATTTTCTGGCTTCCCCACCTTCCCTGCCCTCCCCCCAACTAGAATGGAAGCATCAAAACAGCAAGAGCTATTTGGCTCACTGCTGTACTGCTGTGCTTAGAACAGTGCTTGGAATATAGGCAGTATTCAGAAAATAGTAATTGAATTAATGTATGGGTATATGTTCTGACTGCAAACTAATTTAAGATCCACCAGGAAACAGTCTCCCTTCTACTGCCTATATTCCCAGAGCTGCAGAACACTGCTGCGATGGCACCACCCTTTCCTCCACGGGGCAAGAACAATTATCTTCTGATTAGTACTGGAATCGCATGTGTCTTTATGTCAAGTGTCAAAGGAAATAATGTCTAGACACAGAAAAGCAAAAATGTTAGATGTCAAAGCCATACCTGTAAAGTATTCAAAACAATCCTGCTGAAAAACCTCATATAATATACCTAGCAGCTGCCACATTTGAGGGGAAATACCATGGCAGGTTAAACTATATGCCAGGGAAAGAATTTCTTCATAGAATTCTAGAAGGAAGAAAATCTCTAGTTAGAATCCCAGAAAACAGGAAAAATTAAACACAAAGACCACAGCGAGGAAGATTTAGGCTACCCACTCGCATACACTCCTCTTACACCCAATATACTTTGAGCACCCCTTTCTCGGCATTCCCATCTTCAGCTACTACATTTGCCACCTTACATTTCTTACCAGGACCTGCCCCCTACCCAATAAGACAGCGCAAAGATTCGTTCTTACTGAACTTACCCAGTATTTTTGATACTGTGTAACAAATAAAATATAGTTCATACTTCTAAAGCTATGTTAGAAATGGATACAAGAGGGGCGACTGGGTGGCTCAGTCGTTAAGCGTCTGCCTTCGGCTCAGGTCATGATCCCAGTATCCTGGGATCAAGCCCCACATCGGGCTCCCTGCTCGGCAGGGATCCTGCTTCTCTCTCTCCCACTCCCCCTGCTTGTGTTCCCTCTCTTGCTGTGTCTCTCTATGTCAAATAAATAAAATCTTAAAAAAAAAAAAAAAACCATACAAGAAGGAATAGATTGTGGTATATCTCTCATGTACAGGATTTTTAACCTACAAATAATTAAAATTCTTTGGGAAGCTTAATTAAGCTAGGCTAAAATATCTTCCTGCCTCACATATGTTTACAAACTATATTCTGGACTATATTTTGTCAATTTACAAACCTTGTAAAATTTCTATTTACCACAAGCCAATTATACCTACTATAAAGAGTCCAAAGGGAATGCTCTTGTATTTGCATATATATTTTTTATTACTACCCTCTGTCAAAAGGAAATCATGTCTAAACACACAATGAGAAAACACAATTCTCAATACAAAATTTTCAAAGAATTCCTACCATGTCACTAAGCAAAAGTCTGTTAACTTCAAAGGTTTCTTTTTTTTCTCTTATTTAAAAGGAACTAGGTACGCCTGGGTGGCTCAGTGGGTTAGGCGTCTGACTCTTGATTTCAGCTCAGGTCATTATGTCAGGGTCGTTAAGTTTAAGCCCCACATCGGGCTCTGCACTGAGCGTGGTGCCTGCTTAAGATTCTCTCTCTCCCTCTCCCTCTGTCCCCCCACCTCCACTCGTGCATGCTCTCGCTCAAAAAATTTTAAAAATCTTTGAAAAATAAAAGGAACTCATATTCACCCTGGACATGCTTGGAGTTTTTTTCTGTAACATTATTTAAAACACTATATTCAAAAACTAATAGATATTTGCCTTACCAAGAGCAAAATAAGATGGAAATCACAGATATTGGGAAATAATTTGTTACATGAGACAATCACTTGAAAAGCAGCATTATCTGAATATGAAATATCTGAAAGTTCTGTTTATCATCACCCCACACCTTGGATATGAGGAAAGGAGAGCAAATGCCTCTTCCTAACATGAAGCCTAAAGACAGAAAAGGGGCCCAAGATTTCCTTGCATACCCTTGAGAGCTTCAGCACGTATGCACGACCCAGCCACTCCGATGCTGAAGATCAGGCCTTTGAAACTTGACAGAGAAACTAGAAGGCGTGAAGCTGTTGCAGATTATTTTTTGTAGCTGTACTAGAGTCTGGACTGTGGTGGGCAGTAGCGCAGGACCCCGTGTTGATAAAGGCAGCACTGGCCTCCTCGGCAAACCACTTCTAGGGCAACTAGAAGTGGGGCTCCAGCCAACTCCAGCCTCCCCACAGATTCAGTGAGCTACCAAACATCCTTCCGCTAAATTCCATTTCCGCCTGAATGCAGCAGAAGTTATTTCAAGCATTCTCAACCAAGAAGACTGACTGTTAGGATAGAATGGTTGTACTTTACTTTGACTTCCTGCGTAAGATAAAGCGGTTGAAGCAGTTAATAGCTAGCCCTGGCTTCTAATAATAAATGAAATTTTAGGAGTAAATGAGCAATGAAAACAGGCCAGGGAAAAAATAAAGTGGGACAATGGAAAGAGACTAGACCATGGACACAAATGAAGTCAGGCTGCTGGGGTGGAGGTCCTGGAGTAAGAGAGTCAGCCCATATATATATATATATTTTTTTTTTTTTTCTTATCTAAGATCCTATATAGCCAAATATTGGCTCAAAATGGGCCATTAACATTACAGCTAAAAACATAAGAAAGATCATCCATCACCGTAGGGCTAGGGATGGGGTATCAGACAGGCAACTGGAGCCATGGCTTTCTCCTCTACCCACTGCAGCCAAAAATTGGGCCATTTCCTTAACATCCTGATGTTGCAATTGCTCAAATCAAACAGCTGGGGGAGGTAGATTAGAAGGTTGGTATAAACTATTTCTCTTCGCCTTACTTCATGGTTTCACTCCTCAAGATTGATTACTTAAATTTAAATGGAGAATCTTCAGTTAAATTTAAATGGAGAATCTTCAGTTACAATCTCTTCCGTGAATAAGGGCATCAGTGAATATATTCTTTTTTTGCTTATCAGAATCTCTAGGGTTACGGTCCAGAAATGTCATTTTAAGTGGCTCCCGGTGATTCTTATGCACACCAAAGTTTGAGAACTACTGCTTTATAGCAATGATTTCAAAGGGAAGGAGGATGTACCTAGGCAGTGTACAAGATAATCCACTGAGAATGGAAAATAATGTATTACAACACTTTATATATATAGACATTTAATCCCATCCTTTTACATTTCTATTTTTACGGATGTAAATGTAATTTAGTAGCATGTATATTGCCTGTAATATGCATTCAAATATTATTCACCTATATTAGAAGTACATGCTCAATTTTTTACTAATGGTATGAATGATAAAAAGTTCGGAGACAACCGCTCTTAAGCAGTCACATGCTTTTCTTCCACCTTTCTGTCTGCACACTATAAAGGCTGCATCTCCCTCTTGCCCACATGACTTGGGGCTGCCGCCTTTAAAATGCTTGGATACTATGCGAAAACAGTCTCCTCTACAAATTGCCATCAGTTTGCAACACCCTGACTCTATTAGTTACTCATTCTACTCAGAAGTCAGGCACTATAATAGAACAACAATTATTTCATACTTCTGACAGGACACAGGTCTGTCATTTCACATTTTTCAATTCCAGATTAAAGTAACTCACCTGAACCTCATCCCAGTTCTTCCTTTCTAAAAATATAAAATTTAAAGTTCTCTGTCCTTTAAAAATTCCAAGACTAAAAATTCTTCATTGGATGTATTAAATTTTTCTCTAAATGAAAATATAAATATACAATACTAGAAAGTATATCCAAAAACAGAAGAAAATGCAAGCTTCTCTTCCTCAAGTTGTCCATATTGTTGAATTTGAAGGGCTAAAAATGCACTTTAAGTAAACCAAATCAGTTTACCTTTTTACTCTACCTTTGAACTTACCAATTACATGTTTCTGTAAAACAAGATCAATGATCCGTAGACAGATATTCTCTAACTGCTGAGTAACCTAAAGACAAATTTAAACATTTAGTTTAAAATTCATCATGATAACCCTTACTCTATAAATATTAGCCCAATAAAAATACCAACAGGACTTTTTTGAGAGGAGAAGTTGACAGTTCTAAATTTCAAGTGAAAAATATAACCAAGAGGGCGCCTGGGTGGCTCAGTCGTTAAGTGTCTGCCTTTGGCTGGGGTCACGATCCCAGAGTCCTGGGATCAAGTACCACATCGGGCTCCCTGCTCGGTGGGGAGTCTGCTTCTCCCTCTCCCACTCTCCCTGCTTGTGTTCCTGCTCTCGCTCACTCTCTCTCTCTGTCAAATAAATAAAAAAATAAAATATTTTTAAAATATATATATATATATAAAATGAAGAAATTCTGAAAAGTAAACTAATGATAAAAGTGGGAGTTAAATCTGTAATAAAATTACAAATTAAGTTAGTTCCTTAGCTCATATTTTATACCAAAATAAGTTCCTAATGAATGAAAGATTTCAATGTGAAAACTTGGGCCATAAGAATACTAGAAGAAATGAGAAGAAGTTGTGTATAATCCTGAAGATGGAAAATGGCTCAAAGCACAGAAATCAGAAATAAATATATCAAGGCACTTGATTTCAAAAATTAATATCTGCATGGGGTAGGGGGAAGTCAGAGATAAATGAAAAATGGAGGGAATTATTTTCAAATGGTACCACAAAGATCAAATTCCCTCCCATGAAATCAAATCAACAGAAAAAAAGGCAAAGGTTATGAAAAAGAAATATAAACAGACCTTAAGCTTTTAACAAGATGTTCACTCAAATACATGGTAAGAGTACAAATTCTAAGCCCCAGATTACCACTTTACACCTATCAGACTGGTAATGATCAAAAAGTACGTGGCTGGGAAGTGAGACACTGCTGTCCATTGATTTGGAAAGTGTAACTTGGCCAAGTTAGCAATATCTCTCAAGCTTACTCATAAATACATCCTTTGACCCAGCAATTCCATTTCAAGGACTTTGCTCTCCAGACATATTATTACCTGTGCAGATGACATGTAAAAGGCCACTCACTATAGCAATGTTTGCGATCAGTTTCAACCAAGATTCCATTTAACAAGGGACAGTTAAATTATATTCATTAATGAGGGACCGGTTGAATAAACTTGACATATTATATAAAGGAATATTATGCAACTACTAAAAATATTTAACTTAAGTGACTAATATGGAAGGATCACCAACAGCAATTCAAAAATGGCAGATAAAAACTGTATGCTATCATTTTCATAAAAGAAAAATACACACACTCGGTTTTTTTGCTTAGCTATTACAATAGAAAAAAATCTCTGGAAGGAAAACCTTGTAGAGGACCTACCTCCAGAGAGAATTAGATCTGGGGAGCTGAGGGAGAAGGTGAATTTTCACTATCTTTTCACATCTTTTGGATTTTTCAACATACGTTATACTAAATATTTTTTAAGTAAGCAAAAATTAAACTCCATCATGGGTTACATTTTTCATCTGAGTCTCCTATTTCAAGTTTGGGGCATATTCTCTGAATATTCAGCTTTAAAGTACTGTCTTAAATAATCAACATATTTTGCCACCAGTAGGCAGAGACACCAAGAACAGCTGCCAGTTGTAAATAACTGATATGCTTATTTATCACTGCATATCCCTGAAAACCAGCCCTGGAAAGAGACATATGTGCATCAACATTATTTGGAAGAATATACAATAAATGTTAACAACGACTGTTAAAAAAAAAAAAAATAGAAAAAAAATAAAGTTCCGTTTTAAAGTTCAAAGGATCCAAAAATCTCCCAGTTTAAAAATCTGTCAATATATTTAAAACCATTAAAGAAAAACTACATATGCATAAGCATCTGGTTTAGATTTCTAGTTTTGTTCTGCATACATTGTTTGTACACGTATTCATACACATGTGATTTTTCCTTTTAAGGAAAGATTCTTCTCAAAGTTTGCTTTTAATAAGTCAAAGTTCAAGATCACAGGACAGGCAGTCAGGAGACCAAGATTCCAGCCCTTGTTTTGCCTCTAATTATCTATGACCTTGGAAAAGCCACTTACTGAAGGCTTTCAGTTTTTGAGTTTTTTTTCATCTGTAGGTTAGGAAGCTGGATTTGATTAGTGCTTCTCAATTTTAAACCGTGCCTCCTTTGACAATCACAGTAAGTTCACATGCTCTTTTACTTGTAATGCAAAATAAATTTAACATCAAGAGTAAAAAAATTATAAAGGAAAAGGTAAAATACTATTTTATTTTCAAACTGATCCTGCTGCTCATTTTACTCCTGCCCATCCTCCACACACACATATTCTGGAAAACTGGACTAGGGGATTTCTAAGGTCTCTCCAAATTTGAAATACAAGTTCTGCATATTAGGCGAAAGAATTATCCTTAAGTATACTTACTGTAATTTAATTTGGAACATCTCACTATTCTGAATGGCCCATACAGTTTTAACAAGGATACAAAAATAAAACAAAATAACGAATATGGAAGTAAAAATTCACATTCAGCCTTTTAGGTGAAGGAGTCCTGCCCAGGAAAAGAATATCAAACTGTAATCAGGGGTGCCTGGGTGGCTCAGTCATTAAGCATCTGCCTTCAGCTCAGGTCATGACCCCAAGACCCTGGGATCAAGCCCCACATCAGGCTCCCTGCTCCGCAGGAAGCCTGCTTCTCCCTCTCCCATCCCCCTGCTTGTGTTCCCTCTCTCGCTTTCTCTCTGTCAAATAAATAAATAAAATATTTTAAAATTAAAAAAAAAATAATCTGGTGCTCTTCCATTGGTATGTGATAAACACAGGATAAATCAACAGCCACAGGGTTTAACAATGCTATTTAAAGAACCGGCACCTGCTTCCTAAGTCACACTGTTCAAAACAGGAGCTGCCACCATTGCCGAGCAAGTCAGCTTGAGCTCACAGAAATAACGAACTCAAATCTGATTTTTAAGGAGAGGCTATGTAATGCTTGGGGAGGAGAGAAGAATGCTTCAGGTGGAGATGAATGGATATATTATCAGAATAATCTGACTGCAAACCCAAAACTCTGTGGCTGTGAGCAAGTCTCTCAATACCACCTGAACTTGTTTTCCACTTCTGCACAGGGACACTACCATTTACTTGCTCTAGTGATCGCATAGTAACATTAGTATAATTCTATCAGCTAATAGAGGGGAAAGCACTTAATAACTGTCTACACAAATTCTTATCCCAATATTCTTCTGGAATTCAGTTTAGGAAAGATGATGTTTTAAGCTCTTCTTTCCTTCCATTCTCATGATGTTTCTTACATTCGAATTTTGTTCCATTATTTAATATCTGCCACTGTGATTGAATGGCTCTCTCTCTCTACCAAGAAGACCAGACTGTGGGTTCCACAAGGCAGAGCTCATGTCTTATTCAACTTGATATTCCCCAACAATCTAGTCTAGAACATAGCAGATGTGATAAACTAAATTCAGTTTAGTACAAAGGAATATACTATGTATCTTACAACAATATGTAATATTCCCCCCTTCAACTATTTTAGTATGTTCCTTTAATATTTGAAGGTAATTTTTAAAATCTAGCAACATAACAAAATAGCAATTTTAAAGTCATGCCCATTGATCATGTAAATTTCAGTTAATGTTATTACAGTGACATAATAAAACATAAAGAAATCCCACCTCTTTATGATCTTCTACAACTGTCAAGATAGTATCAATAGTATGTAAAATTCCCATAGCCATTACTGTTTTGTCTTCAATTTCTTCATATTCATCACTTTGAAGAACTTTGCCAAATATCTCAGCCTATGAACATAACATACACATATTCAACAATCAGTACTATTATACTTACCCCTCGCTGTTGATATAAGTTAATAAAAAGGCAGGGGCACTCATCTAGATGTCAGCCTTGCTCAAACTTAAGTTACATACTTTGCCGAGTAAATCAATGACAGAAACTGTATGTTTAAAATATGGCCATTTTTTCCTTATCTAATCACTAGAGTGGAATATACATTAGTTATAACAATTAGATGGCTAAAACTTCCGGTTATCATTAAACAAATAAATCCAAAGTCTGGGAAAAAGTGAAATCTACCAATAGTCAAATGAAAAACTTGGTGAAAGGTAGAAGACAAAGTCAAGAAATCACCCAGAATATGAAACAAAAAAGACAGACATGGAAGACAGGAGAAAAAAGGCAGAAAAATTAAAGACTTGGTCCTGACCCAATATTCCATATCAGAACTATAGAACAGGGGGAAGAAATGGTAGGGATAAATTAATCAAATAAGTAATTCAAGAAATTGCCCAAAACTGAAAGTTTCCAGATTCAAAGCTCAGAAAGTGAAAATTTAGAAGGCTCACATCAAAGCACATCATTATGAAATCTCAAAACATTACAGATGAAATGATCCCAATGTTATTAGATTTAAGTACAACTGACCACAGAAATTAACAACTGTCAGAATTACTAGAGCAAACATTTTTATATTAACATTTCAAAGGCTTATAAACTAAACTCCAAATTTTGGAATTTAATTTATTCAGATAAGTCAAGGCTTTTTATTTTTATTATTCAAGGCTGAATTTACTTTCAAACTAACATAAGACTTTGCCCATTCTTACCAAATGTTGGGTCATATCAACAGCAATTGAGGCTACTTCTTGACTATATTCGCATATCATCTTCTGGATAACATTAGTAACATCGTCATTTTCCGTCTCTCTAACAATGTGCAACAGCTCCTGCATGATAGGCCTCACGTGCGGCTTCATATATTCCTTAGCTAATGCAATAAAACAAACAAAATCAGTAAAAACTTAGGCATTCACAAGTGGTGAAAGGAATCAACTTGGTCACAAGGTAAAGTGGCACAGAGTAACAGATTCTTGGCAGATACTTGCTCTAGGGTAAATAAGACACAAAGCTGTACCAAAATAATCTTCACCAATATATCCATTTCCTTTTAAGTAATTGGGGTATCAATCCTACACATGGGAAAGAACTGTCCTACCCAAAATGCCAAAAGCTTTCACTGAGAAATTCTAATTATACAAATGCTCTATCATCAGCATGACTTATAGGACATGATTATGTCATCAAGATACAAGTGTAAAAAAAAAATCATGTACATAAAAACCATGCCCAATAGTGATGGGCACGTGCCCGTTCCCCACCACATATCCCTGTACAATATCCACTGAAACACTGTTGAATAGAGGTAAACTAGGTTCATGTTCTTCATAAAACTGAATTTACCTTCAAGGGTTAACCTGAACTTTAAACAATAATCTTCTAAACAAACAAATGATTTATCTGTGTTATCACTCACTAGAAATACCACTTGCTACTTTCACAACTAGTAGAATCATAGAATCCTAGAACTGAAAGGACTCCTGAGGCCATCTAGTCCAAGCCCGTGAATTTAAATATATGGCTATCCAACCCTTGACATATGCTGTGCCTTGCCCAAGTTGACACAGCAACCTAGTAGCACAATCAAAACTAGACACCAGGTCACTGGATTCCCAGTATACCCCAGTGCCCAACGATTACCAACTTATTTCCTACTCTAAAATTTTTCTGGAAACCAGAGAAGGAGAAGAATAAAATTCTATAAAATTCTGAGGGGACAAAGGCTCAGAAATCTAAACCCTGCACCTTAAGACACAGAGAATCATCCTTATTAGGGAAGGAAGTAAAGAAACTATTTGAGAAGACTATGTCAAAAATAAAAATAGAATAAACCTCCTAAAAGGTATTTTTGGCTTTACCTTGTGTCTGGTTAGAAATTAGTGACTGGAGAGCAAGGGCAGCTTCAACTTTGACAGGCATCTCCTTATCTTCAATCAGGCTCTTCTTTGCCAATTCAACTGCATTTCTTAGATTGAGCTCATTATGAAACTTCAAAGAACTGAATGCATGAAGTACCCAACAGGACTATGTTAGAAAAAGAAATTAAGTATGGAACTATTAGGATTATGGCATTCCATAATAAAGTCATGCATAAAGGAACTTCTTACTAAGTAAAATATAGTTAACTCTACCAAGTACTGTTTGTTTTGGGAGGGTAGCATATTAGCCTTGGTTGCTAACTTCTGGATCTCCCATTTTTTTTATTTAAAAAGGCAGTTTTGGGGGCACCTGGGTGGCTCAGTTGTTAGGCGTCTGCTTTCGGCTCGGGTCGTGATCCCAGAGTCCTAGGATCGAGCCCCACATCGGGCTCCCTGCTCAGCAGGAAGCCTGCTTCTCCCTCTCCCATTCCCCCTGCTTGTGTTCCCTCTCTTGCTGTGTCTCTCTCTGGCAAATAAATAAATAAAATCTTTTTAAAAAAAAAAAAAAAGGCAGTTTTGTAACTTCTAAATTATCTATATGAATTTTTCACAAGGAAAAGAAAATGGAACCAAATTGAAGTGTCTCTGAAAAAGGAAATCCTGTTCAAGCTTAATAAATACTATGATTCATAACTAATTTGTTATTTAGTTATATGTAAGAGCTACTACAAACCATTATTTGACTTTCATTTGCTGGCCTTCACATCAAACAAATGAAACATTATTTTCCCTTACTAGCATCAGGACTTAGCAAGGTTCCTTTTTTTTTTTTTTTGCTCATATAAAGTATGAAGAATTTTTTTTTTTTTAAGATTTTTTATTTATTTATTTGGCAGAGAGAGACACAGCGATAGAGGGAACCCAAGCAGGGGCAGTGGGAGAGGGAGAAGCAGGCCTCCCGCTGAGCAGGGAGCCCGATGCAGGGCTCGATCCCAGGACCCTGGGATCATGACCTGAGCTGAAGGCAGACGCTTAACGACTGAGCCACCCAGGTGCCCCTGAGCTATGAAGAATTTTAAACCTTCTAGAGGTTACCAAATTTTAAACTATTAGACCACAGAATCATATTATTACTTTAATTCTCTATGTACATACAACACTATTACCGGTAATTTGAATCGCCACAGACTTTTTAGCAAGAGAGTTACAATTCATAGAGCCTGTCAAAAACAAGAGCCTACCTATAAAAATACTTGTACACCCTCTGCACCTCTAATCTGCATGTGCCCAAATACTTCCCCAGTGAACACTGCCTTCTGTTTATAAAATGCTTTTGTGTGTAAGACATTGTTAACATACGTTCTTCATAGCAAGACATTCTTTGTGTTGATGTAGTTATAAAGATAAATACTAGGCTCTTGAATTAATGTTCTATTTTTATTTCTCCATAAAAGATATTGATTTCAGAAGTAATATATACTTAGAACATGAATAAGTTTAAATGGATTATTATTTTCTAAGGCGTATATAGCAACCTAATATACAATTTATACTAATCAAGTTTTTAGCCAAACTAGAATTTCATGCTGTTTTAGACACTGAAAATTAATCAGTTTATGAATTTACATTATATTATTGCTGTAACATTATCCCCCTCCCTGCATGTGTTACAAATGCAGCAAGTAAGGCTAGGGTGAACATTTAAAGCAGCTGGAATTAAAATCTGTAAATCCCTTATTTACTAGTTTGTTTTTTATTAGCTTGGGTGACCATAAGGGACATTCTTTTTTTTTTTTTTTTTTTTTTTTTTTAAAGATTTTATTTATTTATTTGCGAGAGAGAATGAGAGACAGAGAGCACGAGAGGGAAGAGGGTCAGAGGGAGAAGCAGACTCCCCGCTGAGCAGGGAGCCCGATGCGGGACTCGATCCCGGGACTCCAGGATCATGACCTGAGCCGAAGGCAGTCGCTTAACCAACTGAGCCACCCAGGCGCCCCATAAGGGACATTCTAATTGACTTCATTTTATCCCAATATATGGTAAAAGGTCAATTTATCCAAAAATATTTAGTTCAATAATTATCTTACCAATGAAAATTTTTTTAAGTTTATTTTTTTTTTAATAATCTCTACACCCAGTTTGGGGCTCAAACTCACAATCCCAATGTGACCCCAACATCAAGTCGCATGCTCTTCTGACTGAGCTAGCCGGGCGCCCCTCAAATGAACACTTTAAGATACATAATGGAAAAAAAAAAAAAAAAGATACATAATGGAAATATGGAAAACTTACTCTAGCTCGAAGATAGCCCAGGTTAGACAACAGTAACGGAAATACATGGTTCTGCAGCAACAACTCCATTTGGTCCTTGAATAAACTCTTCTGTAAGGAAGCAGAAATGAAGTTTCAACTTAGTGATGCCTTGTTCATATATAAAAATCAAAACTAATACAGTATGTTTATTATGACTTATGCTTAATATATTTCTATGTGCAATTTTATGAAATTATTTGACCTACATACTGTATATTTTTAAACAAGACAGAAACAGTACCTTACATATAATTTGATACTGATCGATTTTTGTAGCAATAAATAACACTAGTCATTTTGTACCCTTTTTTCATATGGCAACAGTTTCACACTGAAAAACTGACACAAGTGAAATTTTCTTTTTAATTAAAGAAACAGGTGACAGAAAAAAGGATGTTTACAGTCAACTCAATTATGCAGAAGCAGTCACAGGTTTTAAATTATTCACAACTTTCATATTCTCTCATTTGCCTGTGCTTAAGTAAATTATATTATGAGTAGCCTGACCTTCAATAAAATATCAGCCAGGGAGCCAATCACATGCAGGGCTCCATCTTTCTTCCTTGGGTTAAAGTTCGGGTCTGTTAGGATCTGATAACAAAATGCCATCATTTTGGGCAACACCTAGAGAAACAGAAGAGTCCATTTTAGTCTATGTGAGCTTTCACTGCCTTACTACTACAGTATTAAGTATGATACACAAATTTTCAAAAGTAAAGCCATTTTATTGTGTTTTATCAAGCAATTATAATTAAGAAAACAACCCTTTTCCCTAACTAGGACAGGAAAACATTCAAGTGATAGATTATAATGAATAATATAATTTTTTAAATAGTAGGGGTATAACTAATGTTTCAATTTTGGACTTAAAAAGAATTAACTGTATACCTCTTTTCTTTTCTTTGCAGCAGTATACAAGAGAGTCTGGGCTGCTGTGGTGGGAGAAGCATAATCTTCAAAAATATCTAGGATTTTAAAAGGTTAAACCACATTAGCAAAAATACAATTACTTATTATAGATTTTGAACCCGACTGACCACTATTCCTAAACAAAAAAATAAAACTGCCCATATACGACACTGGTTTACAGATAAAAAGGTGAAGGATATATCATCAGTGCTCCCATGCACAACAATTATTTATCAAACTCTATATGTTGTCCTTTTAAACAATCATATTAAAGAGAACAATATATATTAGGCATATCTGTTTCACTGAGGACAAAAATTTATTTAGTGCTTACTATGTGCCAGGCACTGCTCAAGGCTCTAGGGATACAAAGAACAAACAAAAAGGGTTCTCACAGAAATCACAAGGTGAGAGAAAGAAACAGATTATACACATACACACACATACACACATAATAGGTATGATAGGGTAAGGAGAAAGAAAGTGACATTATATAGAGTGCTACTTTAAATACGGTGTCAGGGAGAGCCTCTTTAATTCTCTGTTGGGGTAACACTTAAGCAGAAATTGAATGAAGGAGGGAGAAAACTCTACATGGAAATCTAAAGAAAGCTCTCCAAACAAAGGAAACCACACGTGTAAAAGCCTTGGGGGACTACTAGGCCAGGGTTTGGCTCTGTCAACAGGTAGATTCAGCAGGTGTTCAATGGGTATTTATTGAATATACACCTATTTAAAACACACCACTGAACATCGTGAAAATTTTCACAAATTTCAGAACAGGCAGATATTTGAAAAGTATCTCATATGTCCATATTTAAATAGAAAAATAAAACCAAATCTAAGTCTTTGCCAAAATATAAAATACAAATGTAATAATACTAATAACTAACACGTAGAGTGCCAGACACTATACTCATGAGATGACCTACTGTGCCCAGAACTTACTCTTTAGCAGGCACTATGCTAAGATTTGACAAGCATCTATATTCTACTCTAAGCAGTTAAAGAAGGTAGTATACATGTATTAACCGACTTAATCCTCCCAACACTATTAATATTGCTGATTTTATAGCTGAAAACAGTGCATCTCAGAGACTAAGTAGCTTGCCCACAGTCACACAATGAGTAAGGCACCAAGACAGAATTGCACCCACACTGTCTTAACATCAAGAGCCTGTGCTCTCGGGCGCCTGGGTGGCTCAGTTGGTTAAGCGACTGCCTTCGGCTCAGGTCATGATCCTGGAGTCCTGGGATCGAGTCCCACATCGGGCTCCCTGCTCGGCAGGGAGTCTGCCTCTCCCTCTGACCCTCCCCCCTCTCATGCTCTCTCTATCTCATTCTCTCTCTCAAATAAATAAATAAAATCTTTAAAAAAAAAAAAAAAGAGCCTGCGCTCTCATAGTTTCTACCAAATCTAAAAACATTATTAATGTCAATGCATTTAGATTAAGAATACTTCATTCATATAAATAATTGTAAATGACAAAAATATAAAAAGAAAACTACATAATTGTGTAACTGTTCTTCCCTATAGTTATCCAAAAGTAAAATATACATATCAAATAGTAGGCACTTATCCTAGTCCACAAAAGAAAATGATTTTTTTCAAAAAAGCACTTCAGTCTTGAATTATCCATATTCTCTTTTAATCAATAAAATGTAAATTCTGTCAATCAACACTCACAACTCTTTATTATTATATTTCTAAAAACTGAGATACTATCCTATTTGACATAAAGAGTAAGTGAAATAATGGTAGCTTTCTGAACACTAAACAAATACTCTGGTCGTTACAAAAAACACACAGGTATTATAGACAAACTAAACACTAAAAGAATACCTTGAAAATAGAAGAAAGACTGGCTAATCATTCCACTCCCAGGAAAACAAAGGCATTAGGAAGGGGAAATAATAAATCATGCATACGTAAAATGATTTTCAAAAGGAAACAGAACGGAGGGATAAGTCAGATGTGTAAATATTGTTTCTCCTTCATTTGCTTCTCCGGTACTTTGTCTCCAAGAGAAGAGGCACTCCCTCGGTTACTGAATCAAATGATACCAAATACAAAGCACTGTAAAAGCAACATAACCCAATCATCTAGCATCTCTACCAGCAGGCTTAACTCAAGTAGCCGGAGACACCTGGCGCAACAAGGGAAAAGCACTGCGTTCTCACTATCTCCAACGTGCGGGGGGGCAGTGCTAGTTTTATCGATTATTTATTCTAACGTTTATGGAAGGCAGACTAGAGCCAAGCACTAGTAGAGGAATGGAGAGGTGGAGAAGGGATGGAGAATGCAAAATAAAGCAAGTAAACAAGATAAAGTCCCTGCCCTCAAAAAGCACTAAGTTGCAGGAGAAAGAGGTACACAAGTAACATTCTGCTATGTGAAGTGCCTGAGTGTTCCAAGAAGCAATTAGTTTAAACCAAGGATAAAAGGGAATGAACTCAAGCGACCTACACAGTTCAGGAACTTCCAGAAAGATATAAGTGAAAAGCTTCCTCCAGAGAACAGGGTCACACAGTGATATTCTCACTCTCTTGTGGAATACTTAGCCACTAAGATTAAGAGGCATACTAAATTGGGATGCTCCCAAAATATGCAGAAATCCAAATAATCTCCCAGACGACGAACAACCCAATCTACAAATGGGTACCCCAAAAGGTAGAGAAAGGGATGGTCCCTCCAGATCAGCATCACAACAGAAAAAGTTGTAGACAGTTCCATGACTGCTTCAGCACCCCTAAGAGGGATGAACAAGACGGCTTTCCAACATCAAAATGCTAAGGTCTTGGGACGCCTGGGTGGCTCAGTTGGTTAAGCGTCTGCCTTCAGCTCAGGTCATGATCCCAGAGTCCTGGGATCGAGTCCCACATCGGGCTCCCTGCTCCGCGGGGAGCCTGCTTCTCCCTCTGCCTCTGCCTCTCTATCTCTCATGAATTAAAAAAAAAAAAAAAAAAAAAAGTCAAAATGCTAAGGCCTCAAGTCCATTGGCTCAATAGAACATCAAACTCTCATGAGTTTCAGAGTTTATCAGGCAATGCAGAACTTTGGGAACTTAACAAATAAAATCAGCTTAAAAATATAAATTTAGTTATATTACTCTACATATCCAGGAACTGATGAGGAATAAAATCATCTTGATTACCAAATTTCATTCTTATGTACTCATATGGATCTTCTTGCCACAGTTCTTCATCCTCATCTTTATAACACATCACAGAAAAAATCACATCTTCAGAGATATTCTGAGAAAAAACAAAACAAAATAACAAATGGCTATGGGCTATTCAAATTTGGGAAATATTAATAACGTATTTACTGACAGGCTTTATGATGTTAGTTTTCCAGACTGTTATATTAATCTTTGTGGTAAGCTTGCACTGGCTGAGGGGAAAACGGGAAAGGCAAGAGCCTGGGGGAGCAGGGGAGAAAGAGTTAAACTTAAGATTGCTTTTAAACAATAACTGATTAGAAGTATAGTGAAAGAGATGAATGGAAATGCTATTCTTTGAAGCAACAGTGGCGATAATAAAGTTTTACTAACAAATCAATATTAAACACACCTTAATTCTTTAAGAAAGAAAAATAAATATCAAGCCAAGATTATATTTACTATTGTGTTTCTTATTGTAAACATTTTTATATTTCCATTTTGGCCCTAAATGTCAATGTACCAGCAATATTAAAATTTCTTTTCCTCTTCCATTTTCAAAAAAATTTCCTACTCTAGAAATGTAGATTTCAGGTGGGGAAAAAAAGAAATCATATCTAATAGCCTCTATGTACTCTGTTGCTAAAGCTCTACTAAGCCCGTTTGTGCTTTAACAACTACATATGTAAAAACAGGATCATCTCTTCTCACTTATTCCAAATTAAATTCTAGGAGAAAAAATTCAACTGAGGGACTGGACTTTTCTTATTCCTACATTACAGCAATGTAAAAAAATAAGGCGAAAGGCAATAAGAAAAGAAATCCACTCTTAATTTGTAACAACATAGTATATAAAATGAAATCGGTATCTTTATTAGTTGCAAAGAAACTATCACTATTTGATCAAGGGGATTAGACAAATACTATTAAGATGTCCACAGAAACAATACAAAATATATTACATTTATAAGACCAGTAATAAGGTAACACTAAACAAATTCTATCCTGAACACCAAAGGCAAAGTAAAAGAATTTATTTTCCTTTTTAGATATTATCATAGAGATTATAGAATTTAAGAATTCTTAGTTTGAGAGGGGAAAAAATTCAGTTCCTAGCATCTTTGAATTATCCAAAATTATCTATATGCAAATAAGAATTCATTTATTAATGGCCAATAATTTTTCATTCTCATTTGTTCTTTAATTAAACAATGATGCTGAATTCTATCTTTAAGTAAACAACTGATTTAACAGAAAACCTCAAATTTAATCCCCAAAGAGAGATAAAAACCTTGTTAGCTCATACCTACAAAAGAAAATGACCTTGTTTCATTTCCTGCAAAATAATACTACCTTAGTAGAGTCTTGGTGACTCTTTTCAAAATGTTATCACATAAAATACCAATTTGAGCCTAGCAACCTTTAGATAAGAAGGACAGAAAAATATTACCTGACTGAACAGAAAAGAAACTGAGGCTAAATGAGACTCCAAGCAAGACCAAGTGAATCCAGGTCTTACAACTCATTAAACTTGAAGGCCTCACTCTTCTCAAATACTTAAATTCCCAAGCCTGTCATATCAGATATAAGACTGCATGCATTTGAAATTATTCATGGCAATAAAAATATATTAAATATATAATATAGGATTAGTAACCTACTTTGTCTGGAGAACCTAGCTTAACCAGAGAAAAATCTTGGAGAGTCACTCCCCGACACTAACCTGTATGTGTGGCTTCATCTGCTTCCAGGTGACAGAATGAACAATCCCTTGATTAAGATAGTTGAATGCTTGCTGAAGAACACGGGGGGCTACATACTCTTTCTGTCTATATTGGTCTAAAATTTTTAGTAGTACCTACAGGAAAAGAGGGGGAAAAAGTTCAGGAGAACATAAATAATTTTAAGGTTAAGGGGAGGGGCATTTTAGATATGACATAAAACCCACAATCCACAGAGATTAAAAAAAAAAAAAAAAACAGATTCTGGGGGAAATCAACATTTTGTGAGAATACTCAAGGACAGGGCCGCCTGGGTGGCTCAGTCGTTAAGCGTCTGCCTTCGGCTCAGGTCATGATCCCAGGGTCCTGGATCGAGTCCCGCATCGGGCTCCCTGCTCAGAGGGGAGCCTGCTTCTCCCTCTCCCTCTGCCTGCCTCTCTGCCTACTTGTGCTATCTCTCTGTCGAATAAATAAATAAAATCTTAAAAAAAAAAAAAAGAAAACTCTAGGACAGTTTTAATTATTAGATAGGTTCATGTTATATTGAATTCCAGAGTGTCTCACTATAGTTTCCAGCCATTTGTCCCACTTCTAACCTAGGGAACTACTCAGAATAAGTCTACACTCTATTCCATGTAATTGAGCTCTTCAAATAAGTTAAGACTCCTATTAAAAGAAATAATAACAGACTTCACTAAGTGAAAATTGAAAACAACCACAAAGCAAGAGACACCATAAACAGATTGTAATATTTGATAAAGTTGAATTTCAAATTGGAAGAGGAGTGGTAAGTTATCCAAAAAATAGTATCAGGACAACAAATCAGCTCTACGAAAAAAAAGAAGTAAGTCGGCTCCCTAACTCAACTCCATATCAAAATTAATTCTAGATGGGGAGCTATTTCAGCAAGGTCAACAAAAAAATGAAAGCATAGGATGTCTAGAAGAAAATATTAAAGGAGCGCCTGGGTGGCTCAGTCAGTTAAGCGTCTGCCTTCGGCTCAGGTCCTGATCCCAGGGTCCCACATCAGGCTCCCAGCTTGGTGGGGAGCCTGCTTCTCCCTCTGCCCCTCCCCCTGCTTATGCTCTCTCTCTCTCTCAAATAAATAAATAAAATCTTAAAAAAAAAAAGGGGGGGCGCGCCTGGGTGGCTCAGTTAAACGTCTGCCTTTGGCTCAGGTCATGATCCTGGAGTCCCGGGATCGAGTCCCACATTGGGCCTCCTGCTCAGTGGGGAGTATGCTTCTCCCTCTGACCCGCCCCCCTCTCGTGTGCTCTCTCTCTCTCTCTCAAATAAATAAACAAAACCTTTAAAAATAAAAATAAAGAAAATAGAAAATATCGAAGAATTTTATTTTGTAATCTCAGACCACAGAAAGTCTTTGTAAACATAACACAAAACTGAAGTTATTTTTTAAGTCTTATTTTAAAAAAAAAATTATTTATGAGGAAGGAACCATGCCCAAAGCAGCTGCGACTGTCCCAAGGATCCTCCATCAGAGGTAGCACTACAACAAAGTCCAAATCTTCCAATTCCTGGTCCCAGAGCATGTCATTATAGCAAGCTTAAAACTGAACTGCTGAATAAATAAGAGTTCTTTCAAAACATGTACAGAATTTATATACTCAGAATGAATTCAGTTCAAGTTATGTAAAATTCAGGTTCATCAAAGTTGTCAGAAGTCCCACCATCACTTAGATGCCCTTTCTGCGAGGCAAGCTACAGGTGGATGCTATTGCACACGATTCTTCCTAAGCCGGCCGTGGCTTCTATAAGGTGGAGGTGGTGGGAGAGGAAACAACAGTGAAGGGGAGAACACTTTTTCATAAGAAAACAATTTTTAAATACTAGGAATATATACCTGAAGTAACCAAGGTACAAATAGTTTATGACATGAATGAAAGGCCATGAAATCTGAAAGTGTATGTATGTACAACATATATATGTTTAGGTGGCACTGGAAAAACTGGGCTGAGCACACTTCAAGAGGGCATCAACTTCAGGATGCTTGTAACAGCAGTGGAAACAGCAGAAGACAGAGTTGACCCACTTCCTGATTATCCCAGTTTCCATAGAGAATGGCTGAACAGGTCATTTTATTCACTAATTTTCATTAGTTCATTAATAGATCATTATTCTAATTTTCCCTACAGACTGCCTTACGGACCAACAAAATAATCTGTGAGAAAATTACAACCATAGTTTCCTGAATTGTTGCGAGGTACTTTTTTAGAAATGATCATCCATAAAAGGAAGTATTCCATCTATGATGACAGCACTGAAGTATTTAACTTGATATCACTGACAATAAAGAAGACTAATATGCACAGATTTATAAAAATCTAGAAACACCCTCTATATCATTAATGGCTTTTACCGTGTTTGATTAATCTTTGCTTCCTCACTGTGGTTTTGATACAGCCAGTGCTGGAATAGTTATTAAACTTCATTTGTTGAAATATAAAGAAAAATGTGACTTAAATGGCAATACAGGTCAACCAATCTTCACACTCAAATGTCCTTTGTAGGTTTTAAGTATTAATACCAACTTGGATTATTTCCCAAGAACTAATTTTCACTGTACAGAATGGTTCCCAAACTTCCACAAAAATGTGTAAGTTCTCAGCTGAAGGTCTTAACTTCTGAGCGCCAACCCTCTTGAAACAGATCAATTCATTACATAAATCTTCTGATATAAAAGCTTAGAACAAAGAGGTGAGGATCAAAGGAATAGAGAATAAGAAACCCATAAGAGGTCAGAGAGTTAACAGAAGAACCCAATCTAAGCACCGGTCACTGTGACATGAGTATCAACAAGCTTAAAAGGTTTGAGTCTAGGGCGCCTGGGTGGCTCAGTTGGGTTAGGCGACTGCCTTCGGCTCAGGTCATGATTCTGGAGTCCCTGGATCGAGTCCCGCATCGGGCTCCCTGCTTGGCAGGGAGTCTGCTTTGCCCTCTGACCCTATCCCCTCTCATGTGTTCTCTCTCATTCTCGCTCTCTCAAAATAAATAAATAAAATCTTTAAAAAAAATAAAAAAAGGTTTGAGTCTAGCATCTAGGAGTTTGGAAGGACACTTCTTGTGGAAGCTACCCTAGGACATTTGGTTTTAAAACTGATTGCACTGTATTAGATTCCCAGAGCTGCCATTTCATCCCCTATTAATATATAATGTATTAATATGTTCATAATCTACTTTTAAATGGATAGAAAGGACTTAACTTTCTTTTTTTTTAAGATTTTATTTATTTATTTGAGAGAGAGAGAGTGCAAGAGAGCACACAAGTCGGGGGAGAGGGGCAGAGAGAGAAAGAGAAGCAGACTCCCTGCTGAGCAGGGAGCCCGATAGGGGCTCAATCCGGGGACTCCAGGAGCATGACCTGAGCCAAAGGCAGACGCTTAACTGACTGCAACACCGAAGTGCCCCAACTTAACTACTTTCAATAATAAGCATTTCCATTTAAAAAGCATACATTTATTACCTGCTGAATTCCCACCGCATAGGTTTTCAAAAAGAATTCAGAAAATTCAAAGTATTCTTTTGTGACATTTCCTGGGCTTCCATATCTTAAAATACAAAGAGAAAATGTTTTAAAACAAAGCATGCTCACTAGTTTAAATACAGTCCCTTGCTGAAAGATCTATTTGGGCAGAAAACTAACACTTTCCCCTTTTCCACAAGCCCCAAGATGAAATCATGATGAGCTTGTACTTAGGTTCCGGGCCATACTTAAAATTTCAGACAGAGGCTTCCACCTACTTAACCAAGAGTTTCTAAAGGGCACATATTACAAATAAAAATGTTATATCTGACTTTTTTTTAATAAATGTTTCTATAATTCAATTTGACTAACTTTCCTATGGAGCTGAGTAGCCATGCACCTTCTTGTACAATTCCTACATATTTCCAATGAGCTAAACAATGTCATGTCTCCATTTTTTTCTCACAGAAGAACAGAAAGATCCAGAGAAGACTGTCCACATCATTATGATCTCAAAGCCAACATACAGTTAAGCCTACCTTAAAAAGGAGGGTGACTTTTTTTTTTTTTGCCCCACTATGGCTTTTAAAGACAAATAATGATCTACTGTGGAGCATCAAAAGACCCATCCAGTTTTATTATATCCAATGCTGAGGTATTGATCATAAGATCGTAAATCTAATAAACAATTACCGTTCGAAGAGACGAGCTACAATATGCAGTGCCCATTTCTTACACTTCCACCAGACTAGTTCCGGTCTATCATCCTCATCAATCTGCAGAGTCTCCTAAGAGGACAGAAACACCCAGATTAAATTTCTGAATAAAAAGGTTTATGCAAACAACAAAGGCAGAATAAATCTTGTTATAGATTAAATAATACTAAATGTGAGTTTAGATAGCAAATGCAGATTCCTACTGACAGATTGCTACATAGGAATTAAATAAGCAAAGCAAATTTCAACCAACTAATGCTGTTGTTCACATTTATCTCCTATCTTCAAAAGGCCCAAATAAGTGGAAAACAAAATACAAAACACCATGTCCCTTGAGGAAGCTCTGGGACGACAGAAAGGTTTTATATCTTGATCTGAGTAATAGTAACACAGGTGTGTGTTTGTCAAAATTCACTGATCTGTTCCCTAAGTTCTGTGCATTTTGTATATAAAGTAAACCTCAGTATAATTTGTCCTAATGTACGGAAGAAAGAATACTGCACATTTGAAGACAAGCTTAAATTTAAAAATATGTACTTTAATTTAGTTATTTTGAGTAATTATTGAGTTAATTTGATAAGTGACATATAGCATCATTGTTATTACAGATAAAAACGAGACACCATCTTTCATCTATCAAACTGGCAAACTTAAGAATAAGTCCCTACTTATTAAAGTATAAGCCAGGGCAATGTTTCTGGAGAGCACTTTACAAGATTTGTCAAAGCCCTAAACACTTCTAGGAGTTTATCCAAAGAAAATAATCATGTATATGCATAAAAATTTAACTACATCCTTATAGTTACACTAACACCCTAAAGCCACCTAAATGTCCAGCAAATGAAACACTCCATAAAAATGACAGTTTAAAAACATTCGTAATCATAAAAAATATTTATAAGAGATTTTAAGTGAAAATTTCAAAACAGGACCTGAATATTTTTATATTTAATATATAAATTTTTATAAATGAAATGTGGCTATATATAGACTCAGAGGGAAAAAAAGGCCAAAAGAATAAATACCAAGTTTTAAAAATGGTTTTTATCATCTTTAGTAAGATTAAATATAGTTATTTTATTAATTTTGCTTATCTGAACTTTATAAAAATGAGTATGTATTACTATTTTTATTACAATAGTAATTTTTTTCCAAATAGCAAGCCAGGATAATAAATCAGTCTACCATAAAAATCCCAAACCCAAGTTTTCCCAATTTTTCTCAACAAGAAGCCCTTTCTTACAGGAGGAACCGTCCTGTCAATAATAGTTCGAAAGATCTCCATCCACGCAGTCATGGTTTGGTTATTCACTAGTTGAAGAGGCAATGCATACTGAAAACAGAAGAACATCATCATCAAACAATAATTCCTCCTCTCCAAAAAAGCCAGCAATTTCATCTATATTCAAAGGTTCAAATAAATGAAATGGCTAACATTTGACCATGAAAATAGTAATCTCATATGGCTTAACCTAAAATTTAACTTAAAATAGATCTATAAACATATGCAAATAAATTAAAATTTTGAAAATCTAGGGATATGTGAAATATGCATGCCATGAACTGTTTTCTCTGGGCTATTTGTTTAAATAAAAAAAACTTTAATACAGTAAAGTTTCATCTATTCAGCATGAGATTCTAGAAAAGTGATTTTTACCATTTACCCCTTTGTGTGTCAAGATTTTCATTGTAACCACTTTTTTCCCAGCTTTATTGAGATACCATTGACATAACATTGTGTGAGCATAAGATATGCAATGTGATAATCTGATACACACACACACGTATATATAGTGAAACGATTACTAAAATAAGGTCAACACCTCCCATAATCACCCTTTTTTTATAGGGAGAACTCATTTTAACCACTTTAATGAAAATCTTCACCTCATAAACATTTTCTTCAGTTACTCTCTCTACACTGCAGCATCACACAACTACTGTTATCACTATGGGTCTCCCGTGCTACACCATGAGTTCCACTCCTGTAAGACGCAGCGCCTCTGCGTCCATGCATTCCAAAACCTGCTACATGCTAAGGACATAATGACAAGTAAGAGGCACAGTCTCTGTCCTCACCAAGCTTACACACTAGTTGGGGAAAACACATATATGAACAAGGAATTACAATATGGTATGATATACAACACAGACAAAAACAGTACAATATTGTTAAAGGCACACGTAAGAGGATCACCTCATCCAGGCTGGCGTGGTGGTATCAGGGACATCTTTCTAGAAGTTACACACAAGCTGAGACCTGGAGAAAGAGCACGAACTGGCCAGCCATAAAGGACAAGAGTGCTCCAGACAGAATTTCGGAGGCTCAGAAAGAGAGAGGACATGACCTATTCATGAAGCTGAAGGAATTCCAGTATGGCCGGAGTGTAAAGTACACAGGTAAGAATGGTAAAAGATAAGGTAGAGAGATGAGAGCTATAGGCTATGTTAAGAAGTTCCCAGTTGCAGTGCAATGGGGAGTTGTTCGGGCTTGAGATAGGGAGCAGAGGAGGGACAGATTCTGGGTTAATGGGTGAGTGACGAGGAGTTCACTTCTGGACCAACTGAATTCTGAAGTATATATGGAACATCTATGTGCCCTGTACACAATAAACATTTAATAAATGCTACTTAGACAAAGCCAATTGTGTCATGCTTTTTTTTTTTTTAAAGATTTTATTTATTCATTTGAGACACAGAGATACAGAGAGAGAGCAAGCATGAGCAGGGGGAGAGGCAGAGGGAGAGGGAGAAGCAGATTCCCCACTGAGCAGGGAGCCGGATATGGGGCTCGATCCCAGGACCCTGGGATCATGACCCGAGCCAAAGGCAGACGCTTAACCATCTGAGCCACCCAGGCGCCCCTGTATCATGCTTTTTAAAATGAACTTTTCTGCCTCTTCCTAAATTACCAGACATTAACTTTTTACTTACGCTATTATTGTATCATGCCTCTTAAAGCTGCCTAAATTTTTGCTTCCAGGATTCCCAGAGGGAGCATATTACTTTGGTAGCATATAATAGATCACCAAAACGATTAAAAATGTTGAGGTTCTGCACTGGTTTTTTAGGTTTGTAGCAGCATTTGTTGAGAGAAAACATTTTAGATTTTGCCCTCGTAGGAAATCAAACAGAGGTGGAGGCTTTAGGAAAATTATTTCATGAGCCTCTGTCTCACTTCCTGATTCCTACTATGCTTCTCCTGATGGGAAGGGGAAGTCTAGCCTTTGTATAAATGGGATATTACTATATCTAATTGCCAAACATCTCACTGAATAAAAAATGTTTATGCCTCTGAGTAAAGTGATTGTCCTGAGGAAAAATTCTGAACACTGCTTTAATAAAAAGCCAAAGGCACCATATATCTTCCTTCCCTACTACTTTTTAAAAAGGGCGGGGGGGCGGGGGGGGTAGAATATAGTTTCCTAGTATCCTAGCTTCTTCTCTCCTCAGGTTTAGCTCCTTCCCCTTCCCTCTCCCTGCTAAGCTGAAAGAAAAAAAAAAATTACCTCAGACCATCCTCTATTAAAAGTTTAAAAGATGAGGTGTCTGGGTGATACAGTCAGTTGAGTGTCCTACTCCTGGTTTCAACTCAGGTCTTGATCTCAGGGTGGTGAGATCAAGCCTCGCATCGGACTCCATGCTGAGTGTGGAGCCTGCTTGAGATTCTCTCTCTCCTTCTCCCTCCTGCTCCTCCCCCCCCACTCTCTCTCACTGTCTCCCTCTCTCTAAAATAAATAAATCTTAAAAAAAAAAAAGTTTAAAAGAGGAGTCTAAAAATATAAATCTTTATTGAAGTGAAATATTCTGAAACACTACAAAAGTACCTAAGGGACATGAAGCCAAGAACAAATCCAACGTCTTGGCTCTCTAGCTTGACAACACTACCCTCTCGCATGATTGATCTAATAAAAAAGCATGTAACAGAGGTTTGACTCATTCATCATCAAACACTTTACAGACTGACAACAATTGTTCTTCCTCCACCCAGATCTAAATAATTTATCCAAATCTTTCAAGGATTACATTTTAAATACTTTTATATTTAAAATATTCCATCTCTGTCCTCTTCTAATTATTTTTTAGACTCTCATATTAATATTCTTTATAACTTTCAGATAAGAAAAGGAAGTGTTGTTTTTTTTTTTTTTAAGATTTTACTTATTTTTCAATAGAGAGAGAGACAGCAAGAGAGGGAACACAAGCAGGGGGAGTGGAAGAGGGAGAAGTAGGCTTCCCGCTGAGCAGGGAGCCCGATGTGGGACTCGATCCCAGGACCCTGGGATCATGACCTGAGCTGAAGGTAGACGCTTAACGACTGAGCCACCCAGGCGCCCAGAAAAAGGAAGTATTTTAAATGAAGGAAAGTAAGGCACTAAATCTTTGTTAGCTTTAAATTGGGTCAAATTACAAAAAAACTGTCATCAGTATGATTTCCCAGTAAAAGAGGGACCCTCTTCTTTTCCTTCCCCTTCTCCTATAATCCTAACTTATCAACAGGCAGAACGCTACCGACAGATTAGTCAAGTAATCACAGGCAGTTAATTACTCTGGTTCTCCCTCATCCAGCACTTCAGACACTGGAGTGAAAGGCACAGTCAGTGAATCTCAGCTCTGCCACTAAGATAAATTTGGACAATAAAGTTGATTTCTGTGAGCTTGTTCTGCCATAGGATTTTCCCCCCATAGGATTTTTTTTAAAGAAATACATGTGAGAATATATAATAATTTTTAACAATAACTTACACATAATACACATTTTCCATATATCAGGCAGAAATACAAGGTCCCATATTTATCTTCTGCAACAGAAACTTACCTGAACAAGTGCATAAAAGATTTTCAGAATCTGCTTTTGTAGTAAAACAGAATAATGTGAGGAATCAGGAAGGAGCTGCATGATTTGTTGCTGAATACGAGGCAGAAATATTTGCATTGCTGCTATAAGAGGCTCTCTTTCCTCTGCTTTCTTATATCTACATGAGCAAAGACAAAAAGAGAAAAAAATAATTTCTCCCCCTACAAAAGAACTATAAATAATGAATGAAAAAAAAATTTTTTTAAACTAGATACAGCTAACGAAACAAAAACATTCCAAAAACAGTGGCTTACATTTTCTGTTTGGATTGTCAGAATAAACTTGAAAGAAACTGAAAAAGCACATCCCTCCTTTAGGCAGAGAAATCTAAAATCTTTCTAGAAAGGGTTAAATTGATTTCAAAGAATTCTAGACTAGTTTGCAAATTTCCTAAGTGATTTTTTTCTACTACTTAAATTAATTTTCATCATACCACAATTCTTCCTATAAAACACAAGTTGATATGCTTGTTTAAATAGACATTCCTGGGCGCCTGGGTGGCTCAGTTGGTTAAGCGACAGCCTTCGGCTTAGGTCATGATCCTGGAGTTCCGGGATCGAGTCCCGCATCGGGCTTCCTGCTCAGCAGGGAGTCTGCTTCTCCCTCTAACCCTCCTCATGCTCTCTGCCTCTCATTCTCTCTCTCGCAAATAAATAAAATCTTAAAAAAAAAATTTTTTTTAAATAATAAATTTTAAAAAATTAAAAAAATAAATAGACATTCCTATCATATAACAAATAATGTAGGGAAAAAATTTCTTCTTATAATATGCTAAATTGAAATGTTAAAAATAGTTTGCAAACTTAGGTGCTCTTAGATTACTTCAATTGCTCCAAGTCTCAAATATCTTCTAAAAACTCTACAGAGTCTGAACTAACTCGTTTTTTAAAAGGAAAACTACAAGACTGCATGCATAAGGAGCAACCCTCCTAGAAACCAGAAAGCAATGCTATTAAATGTGACGCTCACTAGTCTCCTACCTCCCGAGCAACTTTCATGGAAAAGAACATCGCTAGCAAGGAAACTTTAACATTTTCTACCCTGCATCCAAAAAGTTAAATGTTTGGTTTACTTAATAATGTGCTCACTTGAAGAACTTAAATATTAAGGTACCTCTATATGAGTTTCCAAGGAAAGCTGTTAATAAATGGGCCTCTGAAACTGGCAAATAAATTCAAGAAACACTGCATATCTTATCACTGCCTTAGAGATTAGCAATGTACTTTAGCAGATTAAAGGTTCTCTGAATAACTATAGTAAATAAACATGTTTGACGTGCTTAACCCAACATTTCCCAAACTAACCTGATTTTGCAGAACACCCATACAGCAGACCTCTCTATGCAATTTAATTCTAAGTAACACAAGGCTGGTATCTTCAGCCAATAGAAATCAACTTACTCATATGTCTTCACCAGTTGATACAGACACAATAAACTGCCAAGCCAGCTTCCACTGCTCTGTGATTGCAAGTAATAGTCTATCTTGTCGACTACTGCTGGCCAGTGACCAGGGAAATCATATTTAATGATGGCACGGAGACACATTGTTAACTGGACTCTGTAAGGTGGGGGGGAAAAAAAGTCCAAAATCTAAGTGGTTATAAATATCAGATTTCAAACACCTCTAATATTTACACAAAAGCACTCTAGCCTCTATTTACCTGTATTATATAGTTACATATCTCGGGCAGGGGGAAAAAAAGAACACTCCTATAAAGAAAAACCTCCTCAGTAGCTCCACTTACTGAAAATAAAAAGAATGGGTCGGGCGCCTGGGTGGCTCAGTTGGTTAAGCGACTGCCTTCGGCTCAGGTCATGATCCTGGAGTCCCGGGATCAAGTCCCGCATCGGGCTCCCTGCTCGGCAGGGAGTCTGCTTCTCCCTCTGACCCTCCCCCCTCTCATGCTCTCTCATTCTCTCTCTTTCAAATAAATAAAATAAAATTTAAAGGGGGGGGGCGTCTGAGTGGCTCAGTTGGTTAAGCGACTGCCTTCGGCTCAGGTCATGATCCTGGAGTCCCTGGATCGAGTCCCGCATCGGGCTCCCTGCTCAGCGGGGAGTCTGCTTCTCCCTCTGACCCTCCCCCCTCTCATGTGCTCTCTCTCTCTCTCACTCTCTCAAATAAATGAATAAATAGGGCGCCTGGGTGGCTCAGTCGGTTAAGCGACTGCCTTCGGCTCAGGTCATGATCCTGGAGTCCCTGGATCGAGTCCCGCATCGGGCTCCCTGCTCAGCAGGGAGTCTGCTTCATTCTCTGACCCTCCCCCCTCTCAGGTGTTCTCTCTCTCTCATTCTCTCTGTCTCAAATAAATAAATAAAATCTTTAAAAAAAAAAAAAGAATGGGTCATTTCCTATAATGAATGAAAACTTTGAAACGGGATTATCCTAAATACAGCCTTGGAGGGAAAAAAGAATTTAAAAATAAAAATTCATTTAAAACTTTTCCAAAAGAACAAAGAATGAACACACCACTGTGCTGCAAAATTTCCCACATAGTTACCTTTTGTATTTTAGTTATCATTTCCTAAGGGGGAAACAAAACAAAGTATTGTGTCATTTCAACTGGAAAAACTTAGCCGAAGAATAGTCAAAGTACGTAAAACGGAGGCTGATACAACAGTGGGAAGCATCTCTATGAGCTTGAGCCAACCATTACCAGTAAAGAGCCAACACAATATGTTGCCCCTATCAAAGCTTCCTAAGACAGTAATGTTTGTCTTTTAGAATAAGAAACAAGTATTAGCTGGCAATTCTTGAAGAGGAAAGCTAAGTTATTTGTAAAGAAATAAAGAAAAAAAGCAGTAAGAAAGACCTAAAACACAGAGACTTCTCTTTAATAAAACCACAAAGTTAATAAAAGATGTGATCTCATAACATTTATGTCAGTAACCATTTCCTCAATGGGATCCCTACTGTAATTGGGATTGGGGAAAAAAAAAATGAGGAAAAAAATTTCTCTTCCACAAACTATCAATATGTCCTTATATGGCTGTTTGCAAATGGTTAGAAAGTGAACCTGGCTAAATCAGGATTCCATAATGCCAAAAAAAAAAAAAGAAAGAAAAGGTGTGTGTTCAGCTGGCTAATAACTTGCATTCGCTGAAATGAAACACACAAAATAATGCCTTTTCTTTCTGTTACCAAATCCATTTGAAAAATTTCCTTGGCCATACTCTTAAATGAACTTTGAGAAGAGTTCTTCAAGAGTGATTACGATTAAGCCTTCAGGACATACAAGAAGCAACTGTATTATGATAAAAAGTCTCCTCTTGTACCACCAGCAGTTGTTCCTGAACAATAAATCCGTCCTATCTGTGTGCAATAAAACTTAAACTTCTCATTTTTTTCAAATTTCATCCTCAGGAGACCTCCCAATCTCTTCTTATTCCAAGCAAGCAAAGGGATGGCTTTGAGCAGCCATCCTTCCATATGTTACTGTAGGAGCATCACAAGATTCAGAAAGAACTGAAAGTGTAAAGACTCGGACAAGACTCAGACACACGATGGTGTCAGAGGGGAACCATTGCCAGGCTGGCACGTGGGCACCCACCGAGAACAACGGGGATTTTCTTTCACCAGTACATGTCCTTTCTCCTCTTAACTAACAAAGGAACTACACGAAGAGGAGTTCAATGTTTGTTCTCCTTCCTCGCTGTTCCCCTCACACTTTCTTCCCTATTCCTACCGCTTATGACATAATGTACGTTAGACACTCAGGGATAAAGTTATATCTCATCTCTTGGCGGTAAACAATTTCATTCCCCTACCTCAGTTTCACCTCTTTCCCTCCTCCGTTTTCAACAGAAATCTAATTACTAGCTCACATGGAAAAGAATCTGTGTTTCCTATTTTAAAACCACAAACTGTTAGGGCTCCTGGGTGGCTCAGCTGTTAAGCATCTGCCTTCGGCTCAGGTCATGACTGCAGATCCTGGGATCGAGCCCCACATGGGGCTCCCCGCTCCGCGGGAAGCCTGCTTCTCCCTCTCCCGCTCCCCCTGCTTGTGCTCCCTCTCTCGCTGTCTCTCTCTCTGTCAAATAACTAAAATCTTTAAAAAATAAAATAAAATAAAAAAATAAAACTGCAAACTGTTTATGACTCTGCAGCTCTGCGGTGTAAGGGGGAAAGCCGCTACCGTTATGTGCACACTTTAACCAACATTAGATTAAAAATCCGGTTCCTCAGTTTCCGTAGCCACATTCCAGTACTCAATAGCCATGTATGTCACGTGGCTAAACACTGGACAGGGTGGATGCAGAAAATCTCCAGCATCACAGAAAGGTCTATTGGACAGTGCTGCCCTTCGGCATCTAACCTGAATTTTAAAAACCGGAGCCAGTGTTCTAGCTTATCCCTACTCTATCATGTCTTCTCCAAAGAAAAAGATACTCAGTTCATAAAAAAATGAATGAAAAGATAGGTAAAGTATAAAGAAAAGTGGTAGGTTAAAACTGCCAGGAGTCAATTTCCCTGTACTGGGGGGAAAAAAGCAGATGGTAAAAAGTAAAGAGATCATAACTAAGAACATAGGTTATTTATATAGCAGGGATTTATATAATTTTAGTTAAGTTTGATTTTTGCCTTAAGTCTTTATTGGCAACTTAGGGCACCTAATCTTTTCCAAAATATTCTGAGGCAAAGAATTACAAATGCAAAGACAAATAAGTAAAACAGTATTTTGGGGGGCGCCTGGGTGGCTCAGTTGGTTAAGCGACTGCCTTTGGCTCAGGTCATGATCCTGGAGTCCCGGGATCGAGTCCCGCATCGGGCTCCCTGCTCGGCAGGGAGTCTGCTTCTCCCTCTCCCACTCCCCGTTTGTGTTCCCTCTCATGCTTTCTCTCTCTCTCTCTCAAATAAATAAATAAAATCTTAAAAAATAAAACACTTAAAAAAATAAAGATTTTGGGCGCCTGGGTGGCTCAGTTGGTTAAGCGACTGTCTTCGGCTCAGGTCATGATCCTGAAGTCCCGGGATCGAGTCCCGCATTGGGCTCCCTGCTCGGCGGGGAGTCTGCTTCTCCCTCTGACCCTCCTCCCTCTCATGCTCTCTGTCTCTCATTCTCTCTCTCGCAAATAAATAAAATCTTAAAAAAAAAAAAAATTTTATAAAAAAAAACAATATTTTTTGAGTGCCCACCTTCATTACTTTACCTCTTCAGCAATACAAACTTGAGGCTGATGATTAAATCCAACCTCTCCCATCCAAACATTTTGCGCTTCCTACTAATCATATATAGTATAATGTACCTCACTAAATCTGGAGACCGAATTATTCCTTCCACAATGTTATCACGTATTTGCTGGCGATCATTTTCATGAATGTTGAATGGAAACACTGCTTCTCCCGGTGGAGGTTCTCGGTCAGGCCAATACTGTGTCACCATGTTCTTCAAGTAAATGGCAGCTAAGGTAGAGAAAGAAAGTGCTAGCGTGGCAGTATTGAAAAGATGGCTTTAATTCAGCTTTACAGAGCGTGAAAGGCTAAGCCCTTCACTGCTAAACACGGTACTCAGCAAAAATGGGAAAATCTTACAATTATAAATAGCCAACTGGGGAAGGGAAAATGTATAAGAATTTAAACTTTCCCTTTAGCTAGTAAAACTAATCTAAGCAGAAAACATTTCATTAAATCAAGCATCAGAGTTTACAGGACAGAAAAAATGACCCAGTAATCAAGTATATAACCTTAGACTAAATATAAGGTAGTCTAAATGAAACTCAACTAACTGCATTTTCATAGCATAAAGATTATACTGCTTCTAATGCCTAAAGCTGAGTCCACAACAAGTGAAATTCCACCGTCCCTCATGTGATACTGCTTTTCATGTTTATTTTCTTTCACTGGCCACTATCCTATACCACCACATTTGAAATATCCCTAATTTCTGCCTTACCCTTCTGAAATATTTATCCCTTGTAAATATAAGAATAGGGAAAAAGACATCAACCTTTAAATATCTTTGTAAAATCTCAGGAAATTTCTTACCTGTTTATTTCTATCAAAATACATAATAATGTTGCTCCTATTCTGTTTACCCATCTCCAACAGTTAGCCAAAGGGTTCCGAAAGAAACAAGCTGACATACTTTAGATAGAGTTTTGATAGGGAAGGTGAAGCTTTCTAACTATCGCAGCTGAACAGTGAATATAAATACTTATAACATCATATGCTTATATATACATGATATGTAAGGATGAAGAGATGTGATCTGCAAAGCATTTTAACTTTCTTCCCTTGAGTTTCTCCTCTCCCTTCTTCCCCCACCTCACCTTCATCCCAATGTTACATAAAACTAAATTGGTTCACAGAAGCATTATGACACAGAGAATAAACCAACATGTTCTACATTGGCTATAATACAACTGAAATGTAGTGAAATTATGAACTTGACAAACAGCAACTTTCAGACAGCAAAGATACAGACATGGTAAAATCATGGACTTATTTATAATACAGTCATTAAATACCATTAATTTTACCACTAAAAAATATTTTTATTATTGGGCACCATACAAGATGGCCTACAAAAAAGGCACACTAATTTGTATATGTTAAAATAAATCCTTGGGGCTCCTGGGTGGCTCAGTCGGTTGAGTGTCTGCCTTCGGCTCAGGCCATGGTCTCAGGGACCTGGGATGGAGCCCCATGTGGGGCTCCATGTTCGGCAAGGAGCCTGCTTCTCCCTCTCCCTCTGTACACCCCCCACTTGAGCACACTCTTTCTCTCTCTCTCTCTTTCTAGTAAATAAATAAAATTTTTCAAAAGTTCTTAAAAAAAAAATAAAAATAAATCCTCAATTAGAGGCACCTGGGTGGCTCAGTCAGGGTCCTGAGATTGAGCCCCCATTGGGCTCCGCACTGAGGAGTCTGCTTGTCCCACTCCCTCCCCACTATGCACTCTCACACATGCGCTCTCTCCCTCAATAAAATCTTTTTTAAAAAATAAATAAATCCTCAATTAGTTAAAATAAAATTGAACTTAATATAATAAGTTAATAAGAATATTAATTTCTCTTATGGATAATCATGGATTGCTAAGAATAATGAAGAAAAAGCACCAAAGATAATTCAAACTATCAATAATCTAAAGACCTCCCTTTCATCATTTAATTAAAGTTATCTATCTAACCATTTGCCAGAGCTAACAAAAGACAAATATCATCTTAATCCAGTCATATGGAAATAATTAAACTTTGTTTTTCTGCAAAATCCACCACTCCAAGCATCTTAAGTTTAAAATTAACTTTCTAAAGCATACACACAGTTCTCTCCTTCTCAAGCACAACAAATCATCACTTAAGCCCTATGGATCCAGACTCACAACGACACACGCCAGTTGGTCCCATAACCTCAAAGGGGAAAGGATGCCAGTGGGAACTCAATGAAGCACAATGCTGTGCTTTCTGAGTTGATGTTTCATTGTTTTCATTGTAATTTGGTAGTCCCTCCCTCCCTTATTAATCTGTTGAAGGCTAGGAAATCGAATAGTGTATGTAAATTATATCCAAAACAAAATTAAGTAGATTCTGAGTAAGAGCCAAGGAGCTTCCTACATATAAGACACATGAGTTTTAATGAAAGAGTTTCTTGTAATGCTTCTGGACTGATCAGAGGCATCTTTCCAGTTTTTTCTACGTTCTGTATTCTAGAACACTGAGGTTAACCTTAAAGAATAACTTGTGAATAACTTAGCTATAAGCTGAATTTTTATATCCCTCCCTATCCATCTTTTAGAAATATATACAAAAAGAAGAACAAAAAGCAAGCAACTGGGCGCCTGGGTGGCTCAGTTGGTTGGGCGGCTGCCTTCGGCTCAGGTCATGATCCTGGAGTCCCTGGATCGAGTCCCGCATCGGGCTCCCTGCTCAGCAGGGAGTCTGCTTCTCCCTCTGACCCTCCCCCCTCTCATGTTCTCTCTCTCTCTCAGTCTCTCTCTCTCAAATAAATAATAAATAAAATCTTAAAAAAAAAAAAAAGCAAGCAACTTACAGAAAACAGAACCCATGCTATTTTTCAAATGAGGGTCCCCACATCAGTCACCAACAACGACTTCATCAGGTCTAATATAACACCCAACCCTCAACTACCACTTTTATTTATTTACTTTTTAATCTTTTTTTAAAAGATTTTATTTTTAAGTAATCTCCACACCCAACGTGGGGCTCAAACTTATAACCCTGAGATCAAGAGTCACACATTTTAGTGACTGGGCCAGCCATGTGCCCCTCAACTACCACTTTCAAGTCCAAACTACTTTTCTGCTCATAGCAACTCCAAAATGTACTAAAGAAACTACATTTCTGAAACTAGGTTTATGTATATTAGAGGGTCTCCTCACAGGCAAGGAGTAAAAAACTGGAAACAAAGTTACCTGAGAGATTCTTATCCTAACTGTACTAAATTTAAGATGGGCTCCTTTCTCTGTACATTACATAGTAATATTAATAATGCTATTATGACTCTTAATACCTCAAAAGGAAAACAGGACATCAAAATTTATTTTGTTCTGCTTACCAATATCAAAATATTACATTTTTTTCCTATTTCTTCACAGTAAAGTAATAAGGGACATTCACTAATGAGCTTGATTGATGGTAGCAAGAATATTTTAAGATTGCCCACAAGCCAAAAAATCAAGAACTGAATATTCTGCAGAACTATGTCTTTCCACTTAATATTAGCATAATTTTTTACAGTTTTATGCAGGCTGACTTTTTTTTAAAGCAAAAATCATATCATTCTTTTTTAAATGTCATGATAAAATGATAAATTACCTGTCTACGTGTTACCATAAGGTTCTTGGGGCATCTTTGTATTTTAATAATAGATTAAATAGGACAAAAAATTTATGAAGTTTAGGATAGATATAATGTAGAATTTTATACTGTGTATTTCAGATTCAATGATGAAATGGATGCTCTAAGAGAGAAAACTGTCCTATTAAAAAATTAACCAAGATAAACTCTGTCCTGTGACGAACAGATTTGAAATCTACATAAATTATGAAGAAAAACTACCTATAAATGCTATTTACATTTCATATCAAAACTTAGTTATCTAAGTTATTAAGATTCAAAGTTGTATAGAGGATATGAGGAACCCAGCATTATTGCAGTTATGATAGAAAAAGTAAGTAAAAGCAACTTGGTGAGAAGATTCAAAATTCAAAATTTAAATATCATTAACATCCTACAAGTATCCAGAGAAAAATGTCCAAGGATTCTGATTTTTTTTTTTAAAGATTTTATTTATTCATTTGACAGTGAGAGACATAGCGAGAGAGGGAACACAAGCAGGGGGAGTGGGAGAGGGAGAAGCAGGCTTCCCGCTGAGCAGGGAGCCCAATGTGGGGCTCGATCCCAGGACCCTGGGATCATGACCTGAGCCAAAGGCAGACACTCAACGACTGAGCCACCCAGGCACCCCTCCAAGGATTCTGATTAAAGCTTAGCCTCTATCGGGGCGCCTGGGTGGCTCAGTTGGTTAAGCGACTGCCTTCGGCTCAGGTCATGATCCTGGAGTCCTGGGATCGAGTCCCGCATCGGGCTCCCTGCTCGGCAGGGAGTCTGCTTCTCCCTCTGACCCTCCTCCCTCTCATGCTCTCTGTCTCTCATTCTCTCTCTCAAATAAATAAAAATAAAATCTTTAAAGCTTAGCTTCTATCAACAACAACAAAAAGGAACAATAAAGGAAATATCCATCAATATCAAATTGTTTAAATAAACTAAAGTAGTTCTGTACAAAGAAATAATGAACAATTGTTATAAAGTACATGTATATGCATATACACTGATATGGAACAACCCCCCAAGGGTATATGGTGAAATGGGGGGGAAAAAAGTTATAAAACACCATGTGGAGTAAAAATAGATTTCTGTTATATTTTTTCCTATTTTTTAATGTATATATTTTTTTATTATTATTATGTTATGCTAGTCACCATACAGTACATCACTAGTTTTTGATGTAGTGTTCCATGATTCATTGTTTGCGTATAACAACCAGTGCTCCATGCAGTACGTGTCCTTTTTTTTTTTTTTTAAAGATTTATTTGTTTATTTGAGAGAGAGAGAGAGTGAGGGCGAGCACACAGAAGGAGAGGGAGAAGCAGACTTCCCGCTGAGGAGGGAGCCTGATATGGGGCTCGATCCCAGGACCCTGGGATCATGACCTGAGCTGAAGGCAGACGCTTAACCGACTGAGCCACCCAGGCGCCAGTACGTGTCCTCCTTAATACCCATCACCGGGCTAACCCATCCCCCTACCCCCCTCCTCTCTAAAACCCTCAGTTTGTTTCTCAGAGTCCATAGTCCCTCATGGTTCGTCTCCCCCTCCTATTCCCCCCCTTCATTTTTCCCTTCCTTCTCCTAATGTCCTCCATGTTATTCCTTATGTTCCACAAATAAGTGAAACCATATGATAATTGACTTTCTCTGCTTGACTTATTTCACTAAGCATAATCTCCTCCAGTCCCATCCATGTTGATGCAAAAGTTGGGTATTCATCCTTTCTGATGGCTCAGTAATATTCCATTATATATATGGACCACATCTTCTTTACATTTTAAACCATCATATCTATGGGAAAAAAAGAAATTGGAGAACCTTGCACCAAAGTTGATAGCAGCGATCTTTGAGGGTGTAATTAAGGGCAATCCAATGAGTGTTTATAATGTTCATATGTCATGTAAAGAAGACATATTACATCAATAAACTGCTTTAAAAATACTTAAAAATACATAAAAATATTTAAAAATACTGTTTCTCCAAAGCTTCACAGGACCTCCACGATGGCCCTATAAACACTTAGATTATTAAAATAGTTTCCATGGGGCACCTGGGTGGCACTGATCAGTCGTTATGCATCTGCCTTCTGCTCAGGTCATGATCCCAGGGTCCTGGGATCGAGCACCGCATCGGGCTCCCTGATCAGTGGGAAGCCTGCTTCTCCCTCTCCCACTCCCCCTGCTTGTGTTCCCTCTCTCCCTGTGTTTCTGTCAAAAAAAATAAAATCTTAAATAAGTAAGTAATATAAATAAAATAGTTCCATTTAGCAAAATGTGATTTCAGAACAGCCTTATTTCATAAAACAAAGATTAAACAACTGAGAGTTACGGTTTCAAAAAACAAGAAGTTTTATAAACCTTATTAAAATAACAAATAATTGCAACATGTAGGCTTTTCCATAAGTTTTTCTTAACAACAAAGGGAATCATACATATTGCTACAAGTATTTTCCCAAAGCTAATGATTCCTTACCTTTTTATGTTCAAGGAAAATTAAATACTTTTATCAACATGTAGAGTATAATCCTATCTGTATAAAATTGTTGATCTATCCTTCTACCTGAACCTGCAAAGACTAATTGTTCGCCGAATGTTAAGGATGGCCATTTCTGAGCAATGAATATTGGGTAATTTTTTTTACTTTCATCTTTGTATTTTTCTGTATTGCCCAAATTATTTATAATGAATATAAATCAAGTGACCTAATAAAAAAAAATTTTTTTTAATATCTACTTTTTAAATTAGCATTTGTCATTTTACTCCGTTTATCTTCAAATTACTATCTTTTCAGACTCATGACATTCCAAGACTTTCTCCATTTTTTACCTTTTGGGCTCTAATGACCAGCTCATTAAAAAGGCAAAAAGAGGGGCGCCTGGGTGGCTCAGTCGTTAAGCGTCTGCCTTCGGCTCAGGTCATGATCACAGGGTCCTGGGATCGAGCCCCGCATCGGGCTCCCTGCTCCGCGGGGAGCCTGCTTCTCCCTCTCCCACTCCCCCTGCTTGTGTTCCCTCTCTCGCTGTGTCTCTCTCTGTCAAATAAATAAATAAAATCTTTAAAAAAAAGAAAAAAAAAAAAGGCAAAAAGAGGAAGGCACAAAATCCTGAAACTATAAGGTTCCACAGACTTGAAAGTAAGTCTCATGTTTAAAATAAAAGTCCTGTTCCCCAAACATGTGTTTAGGAACATCTGTGCACATATTACCTCCATGATCTGACTTATGAATGGAGCTCAAATCCACATACATAAATTCACGGTCTTCATCTATGGACACAAAGGGTGGGCCACCAGGAATCATAAAGAATTAGGGAGATTAGGGAGCCTGGGTGGCTCAGTTGGTTAAGCGACTGCCTTCGGCTCGGGTCGTGATCCTGGAGTCCCTGGATCCAGTCCCGCTTCGGGCTCCCTGCTCAGCAGGGAGTCTGCTTCTCCCTCTGACCCTCCCCCTTCTCGTGTGCTCTCTCTCTCTCTCACTCTCTCAAATAAATGAATAAATAAAATCTTTAAAAAAAAAAAAGAATTAGGGAGATTAAGCCGTTGAAATTGTGAAAGCTAAGGGGGGAAATGGCAAAGTTACAGAGGCAAGGAATTGGTAGGTGAAAAGGAGAGAAGGAGAGGAAAAGCTAGGGAAGATGTAAGAGCTCAGTATCTACCTCTAAATTTCCAGGGAAAAAGAAAGTGAGTTTTTAAGCCATTAGCAATACTTTATGTGTGCTTCCTATTTTTCAAAGAAATCACAGAAATAAATAATTTTACAAAGGATGAAAAACTTACTCACCCGCCTGGCGTACTGGGAATTCCACATGGTCAGACACTATAATCCGAAGTAAACTGGGGGCAAAATTGATAATCTTGTAGGACTGAAATTACAAAGAAGTATTTATAAAATAGGCCAATATAAATGAATAACTGTTAGCACTGTTACTGAATACATTACTATCCAAATAAAAGGAAAATTTTTAAAGTGAGAGAAATTCTCCAAGGCAAAAATAAGATTACTGAAATACTTCAAATCAAAACTGGAATAAATTGATGAATAAAGGGGTATGAATATTTTTGTTTTTTAACTTATATTGTCAAAATGCTCTCCAGAAAGTGTGTAGCAATTTACACTCCCAAAAGTAATATATACCCATTTATCCAATACAAGGTTTAGCATTATCATTCCTTCAAAATTGACTCATATTTTAAATTACATTTCTGCTAAGTTAAAATTTATCCTTCCTGTTGGCTGTTTGTTTTCTTCTACAAATTTCTTATTCCCTTTATCCTTTTTGGAACAGAATATTTGTTTCATTCTTAATAAATCCTAAGAGCTATTTATGGATTTAAAATCTTAACCTTTTATTGGACCTATACATTGCAAGTGTTTCTTCCCAGCTTATTGTACTTTAATTTTGCTTATGGTATTTTTGACAAACAGAAACATGGAAAACACGGGCCACAGAAAACAGCAGATCCAATGTAGGAAAACAGACAAGATAATGTGAATTATCTGTGCATGAGCTATGGAGAAGAACCAGTCCAGGTTGGAACAATGTGCCTCACAAGACAGTGTTGAGAGTTGTCATCACCAGCTGCCCTCTGTTGGTGGAGCACCCTTTATTTTATTTTATTTTTAAGATTTTATTTATTTATTTGTCAGACAGAGAGGACAAGCAGGGGGAGTGGCAGGTAGAGGGAGAAGCAGGCTCCCTGCTGAGCAAGGAGCCCAACTCAGGGCTGGATGCTGGGACCCTGGGATCATGACCTGAGCCGAAGGCAGATGCTTAACCAACTGAGTCAGCCAGGCGCCCAGTGGAGCATCTTTTAAACCTGACACCCAAATGAGCCTGTGCTGACGTGCCTGCTGCCTGGGTCGCTCCCCCCCCACACAGGTTCTACTTTGACCTACTCCTGAGTTTGGACATGCTGACTTTAGAAGTAAAAAAAAAAAAAAAAAAATACAGAGCAGCCTGTTCCTTCTGATAATACTCCCTCTAAATGTCTAGTACCTGGACCAGGTTACCGTTCTGCCACATTCCCAGAGCTTATACTTGGCCTTGCCTGCTGACATTCCCAGAAAAGACTCATAAATTCTCAGTAAGGCTAAAGCCGACAGTGATGAAGAGAATCTGTTCAGCTTCCCTTCTCCCAGAAGCCTGGACCTACAGTGGCATCCTTTTCAACATACCACTAGGTTTATGCATACCACTCAACTTTTTAATTTATCACCTTTCCTACTCATTTATTCATAATAGCATTAATAAGAAAACTGTGTGACTACAAAATCTGGAGAAAATTGGTATCTTAAAATGTCGGTCTCTTCCATCCAAGAACATTTTGCTTTCCAAATCTTTCTATAAAATTTTGAATTATTGGGGTGCCTGGGTGGCTCAGTCGTTGAGCGTCTGCCTTTGGCTCAGGTCATGGTCCCAGAGTCCTGGGATCGAGCCCAGGATCAGGCTCCCTGCTCAGCAGGAACCCTGCTTCTCCCTCTCCCACTCCCCCTACTTGTGTTCCCTCTCTCACTGTTTCTCCCTCTGTCAAATAAATAAAATCTTAAAAAATTTTTTTGAATTATCTTATAATTGTTCTTCTTTTCATCCTGTATAAAGCTCAGAATCTTAAATCTGTTGTATATAAAGTAAATTCTCTTTTATTTAAAAATGAAACCACCATTTTAAAGTAATTTTTAAGAAAACAGATTTCTTTTAACAGTAGTTTACAGGAGGCAAAATTAATACAGATTTAGCCCAATCTTCTAACCTTCTATGTGTAATTATAAAATAACTCATGTTTGTAACATCTGAGCTACAGAAAGATCCTGTAGTGAATCACAGACTAAAGCATCTATAGTTTAATTCTAATCTCTATAGTTTAGATACTTATTGCACATAAGGACAAAATAACCTGTACACTTAGATTAATGGTACCTATTTTAAAGCAGTTATTGTAGAGACTGCTTTCATTTCAACACTGTTGCCTTTGTACACATTTTGGAACTCCTCTTTTTGCAACTGCCTGCCATTTCAATGACCTTGTGCAACTTTTTGTCTTCTCCTTTCAGCCTTGATTGAAACTATGTTAATTTGGCCAGCTAAAACATCCAGGAGTAAATTCAGATAAAGTCTCATACTACTTTCCTCACAAGTATTTAATCCAATTTTTTTCCATCTTGGGGTTCAAGTTTCTAAGAAAAAAAAAGACATTTCTCAATATTTACTTTCTATCTGTGAAGTTTTCTGAAAATAAAGTTTACTTAGCATAATTCTGCATTCAACAAGAACTCATTTTAAAGCAAAGACCTGCTGTCTCCCATTCTCTGCCTCACTGCTCCTACTACATTACCTTTTCTAGTGCTCCAACATGCCAAACTGAAGGCCTTTATTGGACTTGCTCTTCCCTCTGTTTCTCTCCCAGTTCTTCACCTTGTTCACTCTTTCACAACATCTAGGTCTCTGCTCAATGTCATTCTTCAGAGAATGACCACCCCATTTATACACTCCAACGCTGTCTCTCCGGGACTTTACTATCTATTGCACTTATGACCTGATATTATTTACTCGTCTCTATTCCCCACTAGAATGCAAGCTCTGTGAAAGCAGAGTCTTGGATTAGTGTCTGCATTAGAACTCAATAAATATGTTATTCGTATAAGCAATCTTGCTTAAAGGGCAATAAAAATGATATAAACAGATGCATGGAAAAGCAGAGATTCCAAAGCTCAGCAATGAAAGTAATTATTTTTATTTCCCTATTGAGGCCATGTGGAGAATGCTTTATTAAAAGAAGATACCTTTGTGGATGAGTTACTGGAGCAAGATAGCTACCTATTCCTACTTCCCTTTGCAGCTGCTAAAGGGACTGCTGGGCCTAGAGACAAGGAGGAATGCGCACAGGATGCATTCTTAATATCCTGAGATAAAACTGAAAATGCATTCTCTGGGGACCACTGGGTGCCTCAGTTGGTTAAGCATCCAACTCTTGGTTTCGGCTCAGCTTGTGATCTCAGCGTCATGAGATCAAGCCCCGTGTCGGGCTCCAGGCTCAGTGCAGTCTGCTCAAGTTTCTCTCTCTCTCCCTTTGCCCCTCCCCGTGCTCACAAGCTCTCTCTCTCTCTCTCTCTCTCAAATAAATCTTTTTTGAAAAAATGAAAATGCATTTTCCCATAGAAACAGTATCACACACAGCAATCAAGGAACCAGTCACTAGTAACAGCTAGAGAAAAATACAGCTCCAAGCAAGAATTTATCCTTCAGAACAGAGGCTGTTATGTTTTGAAACTGCCTACTCTTCTACAAGGCAATTGGTAAATCATCAGTACACTGCAGAAGCTGCCCCCAATTCCTACGCAGAGCATATTTGCTGAGGGGGGACCTAGACTAAAATAAACTAGCTGGACCCTAATCACTTATGGTAGATTACCCACCCATTTGTCCAACAAAGCAGGATATTACAATAAGTATACAAAACCCAACATTGTAGCCGTATTTTACTATACAGTTATGTGACTTTATACTTGTCTCCTACTTACAGACATTCAAAAAAAAAAATACTTAGTAAGAGCATATTACAACACAAAATATACAAAATATAAGTGCTCAATGAGTGGCATAGCGATAAGCTACTTTTAGAAGTTGCAGAGGAAATTATGGTCTGTGATGAAATGGGTGGATATGGGGCAGGGCAAAGGGAGGATGAAATGGGTTTGAACTGAAATACTATGAAGAAAAATGTAGAATTGGGTCCCAAGTGTCTCTTCTAGTTCTGCAGGCTTTCCCACCAACCTTTCTCCCCTTCTCTACAGTCAACTGCACTTAGACACTGATGAATCAGAAACAAAGCAAGGACAGGCTAACAGGGGCAGGAAGGTATAACATGATATCAAAGATATGATCCCTACTGACACTATCAAAATAACATCTGGCCTCATTGTAAAAAGAAGGGGGTCACAAACAGGCCAACTCCCCTGTTCATACTAATAGATGCAAGTTCAGCTCTTGCTTTGTTCCTTCTAACCAACCCATGGATTACTATTCTTCTAGCCAATCACCATATAGTACCTCTGCTCTGCAAAGCCTGGGACAGGTACTGACTTTAACTTTCCCCTATTCTGAGTGAGAGTCCTTTTCTTTTTGAGGTAACAACACATTCTCTTTAGGCTTCAGTTTAATTCAACCTTCTCTCCAGTGTTTTCACTCTCCCTTTATCTCTTGGGGATTCTGATTCACACTTAACTCCAAACACCATCCAGATTTCCCACTGGATTTCAAAGATTTAAAATGCACAGCTGCACTTTAAAGTCAACTCCAACTAGGGAAAACCTTAGTGAACTCCCACAGAAACTTTTACTTAAGACAACCGCTCTCACACTTCAGGAAGCACAGAATCACCTAGCTAGCTAATTAAAACATAATTGGGACCCACCCCCAGAGTTTCTGATTCTCTAAATGTGAAGCCCAATAATTTCCATTTCCAGGTGATGTAGATGCTGCTCATCCTGGGCAACACTTTGAAAACCACTAATGTAGGTTTATTCCTTTACATTTTAAGGATTGCCCCAACCTCAACCAGCTGTCACTCTACCCTGGGGAGTAGACCTTAATTCGTACTTTTTAGTTAAGAGGTCTATCATTCATTCTTACAGGTGAGGAGGGAAAACATGAGCTAAATTTTGGGATCACTACAATTTCGAAATGTCGGTGGTAACGCTGGAACAAGGTCAGGGCCAGTAAGAACACAGGATGGAAGATAAAAGAAAGTCTTACACATTTTAGCGCTTATAAGAAATCCCTCCAGGGCGCCTGGGTGGCTCAGTCGGTTAAGCGACTGCCTTCGGCTCAGGTCATGATCCTGGAGTCCCGGGATCGCGTCCCGCATCGGGCTCCCTGCTCGGCAGGGAGTCTGCTTCTCCCTCTGACCCTCCCCCCTCTCATGTGCTCTCTGTCTCTCTCATTCTCTCTCTCAAATAAATAAATAAAATCTTTAAAAAAAAAAAAAAGAAAGAAATCCCTCCAGACGCATATTACTCGACTTATCTTTTAAAAAATCGTACCACGATGAAAACTGCCTCCCCTGCACTCTCCAGGCAGCATTTCCCAGCGCTCCGACACAACTCTGCCAATCAGTGTCAAAAGAGTCCTGCCAACCCCACAGAAGCAGGCGATGGGCAGGGTTTCCCAGCGCAACACTTAAAAAAGGCTGGGTCTGGAGAAAAGCTGAACTCAGATTTGAATTTTAAGTGCATTTTCCCACCCTCGTCCCTAAATCAGCGTACTTAGGGAATCACACCCTGCAAACACTAGCAAAGCTTTCCAAAGCCTCTTTCTGCGGATCAAGGGGACTGAACAAACTGCACTGGGGAAGGAAAACGACACGAAAAGATGCAAAGGTGGCCAACAGGTGCGCGAGTTGTTCAGAAAAGATCCGGGGAGTGCCGCTAAGCCGGACCCCGGGGCGGGGGGCGGGGGGCGGGCGGGGCCGAGACGAGCTCCAGGGTCTGGAGCCCCGGTTGGGGTGGAGATCAGGGGCGCAGAGGAGGGAGAGCCGGGCGAGCCCGCGGGGAGCGCCAGGGGGGCGCCACAGGCCCGCTCCTCACCTGGTTGAGCTCATTCTCCGCTGCAATCCGCAGCTTCGGGTCGATGGTGCCCTTCAGCGCCTGGATGATCCGGTTGAGGTCCATCTCCCCGGGTGGGGGCTCCGCGGCCCCCGGACCAGTAGGCCAGACTGCAGCTTTAGTTTTTCTTTTGACCCTCTCAGCCTTCTCCTCCGCGACCCCTGGACTACCTCACTCCCCACCCCCCGCCACCGTCGCCACCTGCAGCCACTTGCTGCGCCACTCTGACTCCGCGCCCCCTGTCCTCCCTTTCTACCCCCCACAACTCGCTCTCCATTCACCCTTTTACGACAGCCGGTGGGAGGCGGGAGAAGGGAGAAGAGGAAGCGGCGCTTCCTTTACGGCGGCCTCTTCCCCAGGGCGTGATGCTATGGCTGCTCCCGCAGGCGGCCCCCATGCTGCTGTACGGAAAACAGTAATTGACTTCTTCCCGGGAGGGAAAAGCGCTCACTAGCTCCGGCAGGCGGCCGCCATGCTGCCTTACGGAAAACAGCCTCCGCCGCTTCCCAGAGGAGGAAACAAGCGGGCTCGGGGTCTCTTAACAGATACTTCCTAATTAAGCATATATAGATGGAATAGCACTTTTTGTCAGTACGAAACTGGGCATCACAACCGAACTTGTTCCAGGGCGGACTTGTTGGGAACTTAAGATCATCTAGCCCACAGTAGAACAGGGTTCCCTTGGTCTATGGGAGCCATCATTCATTCATTCACTGAACATTTGTTAAACATACGTTCTTGGACCGGAGTACTGAGCTATTTAGGTACCACATTATAACAAGATGACTGAGATGCAGGCTATTATGAAGGAACTTACAATCTGATAGAAGAGACAAGTGTACAAATATTTACAGAGTAATTGTGAGAATAAAGAGAACAGAGAAACTATGTGCCTGAGTTTCTGAAAGATGTGAAAAGTAGTGAAAAGGCAAGAAGGATTATACAATTTCCACACACTGTGGCCTTATCTGGCCCAATAAATTCAATCGCTTAGTGGTTGCCAATGTCTCTCAACTGCTTCCAGTTTTCCCCCTCTTTAGTCCATTCTCCACACTGCCATCGGAGTAATGTTTCTTAAAGGTTAATACCGTCATGTCCCTTCCTTGATAACTTCCCATCAATTTTAAGATACTATTCAAACTCCTTAGCACTCCAGGGTCTTAGGAAACGTAGTGCTTTCATCTCCACACTATTTCATTAACCCACTTTTTTGGACCTCATGATAATCTAAAGCTCCTTGACCTCTGAATATCCAATATCCTCTTCTCAAATTAGGACGTATTCCTCCAATCTCTCTCTCCCTCAATAATTGTTCACCTGTTTTCCAACTCAATTACTTTTTTAGTTCTCCTTAGTCTCCCCATTCCTTACTACACATACTTCTCTGCTATTGAACTCCCAATTCAACTTTTTTTTAAAAGATTTTATTTATTTATTTGACAGAGAGACAGCAAGAGAGGGAACACAAGCAGAGGGAGTGGGAGAGGGAGAAGCAGGCTTCCCTCGGAGCAGAGAGCCTGATGCAGGGCTCGATTCCAGGACCCCGGGATCATGACCCGAGCCGAAGGCAGAAGCTTAACGACTGAGCCACCCAGGCGCAGCCCAATTCAACTTAAGTCTACCCTTGACCCACTATGCAAATCGACACCGCTACAAATGTGTGTCTTTTCTTTTCTTTCTTTTTTTTTTTTTTTTTGTCAGAGAGAGCACAGCAGGGGGAGCGGCAGGCAGAGGGAGAAGCAGGCTCCCTGGTTTGCAAGGAGCCTGATGTGGGACTCCATCCCAGGAACCTGGGATCACAACCCAAGCTGAAGGCAGACGCCCAACAGACTGAGCCACCCAGGTGCCCCCATGTGTGTTCTTTTCTTAGGCTCAACAATCCTATTCCTTCTTTGATCAGAACAATCTTCCATTTTCCCAGCAACTGTTCCAACCCTCAAGACTCTTCTCAAACTCCCTGTTTCATAGAGCCCTGCAAAGATGAGCAAAGCCATCAGGCTCAACTCACTCAAACAGAAATTAATCTCTGCTTACCCCTATTCACCTCCTTACCTCCAATCTGAACCCAATTCTCTCCCATCTCTTCTGGGACCTTGCTCAATAAATCTCCCTTTTCTATATATTTTTCATTAAAATAAATATTGAGGGGACGCCTGGGTGGCTCAGTCACTTAAGCGTCTGCCTTCAGCTCAGGTCATTATCCCAGGGTCCTGGATTGACCCCCTCCAAGCTCCCTGCTCAGTAGGGAGTCTGCTTCTCCCTCTTCCACTCCCCCTGTTCATGTTCTCTCTCTCTCTCAAATAAATCTTTTAAAAAAGTAAAATAAATCTTGAGTAATTACATGCTCACAGTTGACAATTTTGTAAAACTTTTTCTTATATTTTCAACCCCTTTCTCTCCACTGATTCAACCTCAGCCTAAAAACATTTCCCCCAGTTAAAAAACAATCTTTCTCCAATAATGCTAATTATTGTTCTCTTTCACTTTTCATTCCAAAGAATGGTCTTCATTCCTTGTCTCTACTTCTTTACTTCCTACTCATGCTTCAATCAGCTATCCCCAGGGTTCTGCCCTCATTTCCCCCACTGAAGCTGCTGAGCAAAAATCCTTTAGATCCTTTAGATACCAAATGCAAGAGACATTTTCAGTTCTCATCTGAAAATGTCTCTCTCTGGTATCTGACACTGTATTACATGCTCTTCTTTTTTAAAAATATGTTTTCTTGTTTTAAAGAATATACTTGTAATATTTTTTAAAGATTTATTTATTTGAGAGCGAGAGCGTGCACACACAGAGGGAGAGGGAGAAGCAGACTCCCTGCTGAGCAGGGAGCCTGATGCAGGGCTCATCTAAGGACCCTGGGATCATGACCTGAGCCGAAGGCAGACGCTTAACTGACTGAGCCACCCAGGTGCCCTATATCTGTAATATTTTGATTGCTCACTTGATCACCCAAGTCTTAAACACTGGTGCTTCTCAGGACTCTTTTGCCCTCTTTTTTTTCTCTTCAACCCGTTCTGCTTTGGTCATTTCGTCCACTTATATAACTTTAACCATCAACTCAACAGGGACAACATAGAAAACTGCTTCTAACCAAGATCTCCTTTCTTAAACTAGATGCATCCAAATGCCTTCCGTGTTTCTACCTGGCTGTACCCAAATCCTTTAAGGCACATGTCTAAAACTGAACTGTGATAGCACTGAAGATGGTTTGGAGTGGGGAGAGACTTGATGCAGTTATTTTAATAACATAAAAAGAGAGAAAAGACAAAAAAAAAATAGTGACACCAGAGAAACTGGATCACTCATATATTATGGATAGGGGTTTAAAATGATACCACCTCTCTGGAAAACAGTGGTTAAGCAAACTGGTACATCTATACATACTACTGAGCAATAAAAAGGAATGATACATTCAACAACCAGGATGAATCTTCAGAGAATTAAGCTAAGTGAAAAAAGCCGATCCCAAAAGCTCACATTCTATCTGATTCCATTTATATAACTTTTACTAATATAACATTCTTAAATGGTGTGCCTGGGTGGCTCTGTCAATTAAGTGCCCGAATCTTGATTCCAGCTCAGGTCTTGATCTCAGAGTTGTGAGTTGGAGCCCGATTTGGGCTCATATGCTGGGCATGGAGCCTACTTTAAAAAAATAAATAACATTCTTAAAATAACAAATCACAGAAAGAACAGATCAGTGGCTGTGAGGGCTTAAATGGGGATGGGGACAAGAAGGAAAGGGGCATTACTATAAAAGGGCAACATGAGGGATCCTTCCGGTGATGGATATGTTCTCTATCTTGACTGTACCAACCTCAAACATCCTGGTTGTAATATTGTATCTTGTTTTACAAAATGTTGCCACTTAATTTCTAAGGAAATTAAAGGGTACACAGGATCCATGTGTATTATTTCTTCTAACTACATGAGAATCTACAATTATCTAGCATAAATATTTTAACAAAATGCCTAATTAAAGAGAGCTGATGTTCCGATTAAAACTTTGTGGGCTTTGGAAAGACTCAGTGAAGATAAATTACTAAAAAAACAATGCTGTCAAGTTAGCAGTGTCTAAGGCAACAGGAAAAAAAAAAACCATAAGCATCTATGATTCTGCTCTCAGATTTCTTTCCAAGTATTTTAAAATAGCTTTCCCTAAACTCTAACTTAGGTTTAACTTATATATAGTTCATTGTTTTTGAGTCCCCTTTTTTAATTACATGAGAGGATGTCTATTTCTTGATACACTAACATTATTTACAGTAGAATGTGAGCCAGCTATATTGTCTTCTTGTACTATCATGATTTGCATATGCCTCACCTCTTTATACCTCTGTCTCCTCATCTGCTTCCAAGAGCTGTTGTAAGGACTAAATAAGATAAGTACATTGCCCAGGGTACATGCTCAGTATTAACTATCTTTGTATTCTATTTAAAAGAGAGGACAGACCTTGTCCAACCTTTACTGAATGAGACATAGTGAGACCTAGTCTCATACTATGCCTGGTACATAAAAAGCAATCAAGAAATACTGGTTGAATGAATAAATGAATGCATGTGAGAGAGATAAGGGGTCTGAAACAGGACATCCACAACAGCAATTAAGAAGGTAAGACAGAGGGGCGCCTGGGTGGCTCAGATGGTTAGGCATCTGCCTTCAGCTCAGGTCGTGATCCCAAGGTCCTGGGATCTAGTCCCACATCGGGCTCCCCTCTGCCTGCTTCTTCCTCTCTCCCTGCCTCTCCCCCTTCTTGTGCTCTCTCTCTCTTTCTCAAATGAATAAATAAAATCTTTAAAAAAAAAAAAAAAGAAGGTAAGACAGATATGAGACATTTCACAGGTTGAATCAACAGGAATTTGTGACTTATACAATACATAAAGTAACAAAGGGAAGTCAAGAATGATTCTGAAGTTTCAAGTTTTGCTGATGTATGGAACTCATTAACTGGGGCAACCCGAAGGAATATTAAAGTTTGGAGAGAAGATCAGTTTGCTTTTCAACATGTTGAACTAGAAGTGCTTAAGGGGGGCGCCTGGGTGGCTCAGTTGGTTAAGCTACTGCCTTCGGCTCAGGTCATGATCCTGGGGTCCTGGGATCAAGTCCCACATGGGGCTCCCTGCTCAGCGGGGAGCCTGCTTCTCCCTCTTCCACTCCCCCTGCTTGTGCTCCATCTCTCGCTCTCTGTCAAATAAATAAATAAAATCTTTTTAAAAAAAAGTGCTTAAGGGTTAGACATCTAGAGGTTTCCAGTGACAATT